GTCCATTATCAAGAAGACCAACCTCATCAACTTTGCCAAGCGGGCAAAGACGGCGGAAGTTATCCGTGACATCCAACAGTACCAAGCTGTTGGCTACTCACTACAGCCTGTCCCGGAGCTGCAAGATTACATAATAAGTAATATGCAAGCTGCTGGAGACGTGCATGAGATGTACGACAAGAGCTTGCAAGTGGAACCACGCGAGCGCGAAGACGAAAAGATCGTGAGGTACGTAGCACTGGGTGTCCAATGCGGGACTTCAATCGGAGACCTTGATTCACCTTTACTAACTCTGATACAGAGTTCTTGCTGAATCTGGCTTCCTATGATCGGCGATTATTCGAATGGAGACAGCATCCTATCATGCCTCATTCATGCCGGCAATCCCAGCATGATCAGGGGGGCCTGCTACAGGTTTGGACGTTGTACGCGTCGAAGAAATACTCGAGGCGCACGAGGTGTCCATCAACACCATGAGCCCGAGCCCTTTGAGGCGCTCCGCCGTGGTTGTGATGAAAATTCAGAGCTTGGTTTAGGTGCCAACTGCATATCAGGTGGTCAGATTCAGAGCTTTCTCAACCGGTGAGCGCGGAGGAGATAGGTCGCCAATTTGGCTCTTTAGCCGATGGACGATGAATCCGACGGAGTAGTGCCGAATAGAGACACCTGCTCCATGCAGAAGAGGATGAATGATGTCGGTTGTTCCTTGTTCAAAAGGGATCAACCGACATGGGGAGATTGGATGATATAACGACGTGGGACTAATAAGCCCACTGCTCCTGCATATTGGCCGACGGGTTCCCGTCCATACCATAGCAAGGGCGATGTTGGAAAAGAACGACTTGACTCGCAGATATGTTCGACATGAACGCGAGCCAGCAGGGAAAATGAAAGATATGAAGGGAACCTGACGTTTGGGGTGGAAAGCCAACCGAAAAAAAAACCGGAAAATGAAAAAAAGCTCAAACGGCGTCTGGTGAAACGTGAACGAGAGAGAGAGAGAGAGAGAGAGAGAGAGAGAGAAAGAGACATCTTGATATATGGGTTTTTTCTGGGATGAAATATGTCGAGCTGGGAAAAGAAGTCACTGGCATCATACGATGTAAGCAGATGTTGGAATTGGACGTGGGAACCTCGAGCCAGTACGGCCGGTTTGCCATCACGCTCCTTGTTAGGTCGTGGCTTTTTTTATAATATCAATCAGATTCAAAGACCCTGAGAATTGTTCCATTGAGGTCCATGTCCGTTTTGTCGTCTTGAATGGGTGTGTATGTCGGCTCCTTGAACTGTCGAAAACGGCATTGTAGGGGTAAATTTTTCATGAAGACAGCTTTGGTGTTTATGAAGGCTTTGCGAGCCATGCGCGGGCTGTATTGGGTATCAACCTCAACTAGGAGAATGCGGATGGCGTAGGGACGGTGATGGGATGAGACGTAAAAGGTGTTGATGATTGTATAAGTCAATGTAAATGCTTTTGGTCTGCCTATACGGGTTTCCTTCGTATTTGCTTGTCTCCTAGACGTTTATAATAAGAGCACGATTTAAATATCTCAGTAAGAGTGCTTCACGCACATATATCATATACATGTCAACTAGAATGATTAAACGTTGGTATTTTATTAATTTAATCATTCGGTGCTACAAATCATTAAACAGCCGTCATGATCGTGTTCCGGCGCTGGTGCTAGGAGTCGTTGATGATACAAAATGGACAAGATTATAGAGAAGTCGACACGCCCATCTCCTAGTGACGGTGAAGCTTGGCCTTGATCTTGTCCTTGAGACTCTCCTTCTCCTTCTCCGTGCCAGTGCCCGTGCTGGAGCTGTGAGATTCGCTGGTATTGTCACTGGTATTGTCACTGGGCTTGTCGGCGCCGGACTTGGCAGATGCCTTGGCCGCAGCATGGGAAGGATCCTTCTCATCTAGGAGGCCTGAACGAAGTGTTAGTTTACCATGTTACCACCATATTTTCCGGGTCTACACTTACGCTCCGCCTCGCGGCCGGCACCAGGCCTCGTCGCATCAAAGTCGCCGCCATCCGCGGCCAGTCCCGAAGCCTTGACGAGCTTCTCACCTGTGCCCTCCTCGCCGTGGCTTGCATTGGGGTCCTCCTCGTCCTTCTTCTCTTCGGTGCCAGTCGTGGACTCTTCGCCTCCAATAAGGCCACCTTTTGAGGATCCCTTGACATTGCCGGCATCACCACCACGCTCCTTGGCAACGGCCTCCAGAGGTCTCGGACCTGGGCCGTCAAGCTTATCGCCACCAGTAGTCGGGCCGGACGCGCTGTTGTTCACATCTTGACCCTTAGGGGCAGGGTCGGTGGCTGGATCGCTGGGGGCTCGCGTCTCAGTCTTCCCTTTGGCGCTGTCGGCTGAGGGGACCTCGTTGGGTGATGTGTGCTTGAGCTCTGGCTTGCCGATCTCCTCCTTGTCCTTCGGGGACAACTCCTCTGTCGCCTTGCGCGTAGTGGATTCCTCGGTAGCACGCGACCTGTCGGTCAAGTTGTGCTCGATTCCGGTCTCAGTACCAGTTGTACCGGTTGTGCCAGTCGTCGCAGTGCCGGTGCTTGTGGTTGGGGCAGTGGTGGTAGACAGCCCAGTGGTCGTTGTTGCTGTCGATCCAGTCGCCGGCTCAGAGGCGTGAGCGTCGGCCACGTTGGCCTTCTTCTCCTTGTTCACGGGGTCTTCTACTTGGGAGTCAGAATCGGTGTTATGTGAAGCTAGGTTTTAAAGCAGAAGCTCCATGGTGATCGCATACCGATATTGCCAGCGTCGTACGGTTCACCCTGGTTAGTGTTGCCCTTGACACCAGAGACGGGCTCTTGGTTGGCTTCGTTTGTGCCCCAGATGGCCTTGCTCGCCGCGCCCGCGATGTTGTTGATGGTCTCCATATTGATCGGTGAATACTATGGGTTGGTGTGAAAGCCTTTGTGTTTTTGTAATCCGCACAATTGATTGGATATTTAGTCCTGAGTGTTCCGGACAGTATCGACAATTTGTTGTTTATGTTCTAGATGTAAGAGAGAATTCCAAGAAGGCGGGGTGAGACTGGGCAAAGAGGTGTCTTTTAAGGTAAACGTGGGAGGCCTCGAATAGCAAGCAGCCTGCAGGTCTGACGTCTTTTGGGCCTCGAATATCCCCGCCTGCTTCTGATACCTGGAAATACATCACAGTGGTCAACCTGGACGGCTGAGGTGGGCACGCAACAGACGGGATGGCCAGGTACGGGGTAGACAAGTACTTCTCTGCCCTCCCGAGGCAAGAGACAACGCGGTAACGTACCTAACGGGTACGACGGCTCGAGACAGAAGGAGATATATCTTGGCCTTGAATTGTCCAACTATCCCGTCATGCTGGACCAGCTAGCGGCACACGTATGCCTCGCAGCCACCGGATTGCCCAAAGTGACGCGCGAGAATAGGAATGAGGGGTCTGACCAGGCTAATGCCATTGTTCTCCAGGCATGTACATCCTAGCAGCCACACCTTGGTTCTACTGTGGTCGGTATCGTTGCCGCAGGTAAGAAACGAGGAAGAAAAAAAAGGTGGCTTGGACATGGCCAAAGCAAGGCAAGGCACGACAGGTTAGAACAGATGCAAATGAGCTCATCTACGACGTTGGATTGGCCGTAGACAACCCGGCACGGAGAGACTAGACGAGATCACGTCAAAGCTGGCGCAAACGGACGAGTTACGGTGGCTCCTGATGTGGCACATGGAGGGGAAGACCAGCCAACGAGCGGGCCTGGAACTAGCGAGTTGATTTGCATAGGTCGTCATCTTGTCCACCAATCTGCCAAGTCAACCCTGTGCTGCCTGCATCTACCTTAGTTTAACGGGGAAGGTAATGAGGCGGGATCTGGCGATCAGCAGCTGGCGGGGTGGACGAGTCTGGGATGAGGAGGAAGCTATGACGTTGAGCGCGGTTGGAAATGCAGTCACGGGAAACCAGGCTGGGCGGGAAGCAGCGATAGGTACGATTACGTCACTGGGCTATTTTGATCGGTTCTCGGAAGGTGCCCACGAATACAATACCCGCTCCCAAGGTACCACTTCAGAGGTCTCGACCTTTTAGCATCTGGCCATCTCATCCTTAGTTACCATTTCAATGTCGAAGGGAAAATTTCCGAATATCAACAGTTAATATCTTACAGCACGATGCACGAATTGGCAGCCAAGGGAGGTAAGCTTTGCATAGGACGCATGTGCGCAGTCCACCTCACCCACCAACTTGAGGCCCCGGACACGCCATCCCGCAAACTGCCCTGTACTGTCGAAGCTTGGCCTTGGCTGTCAAGATGTTCCCGAAAATGTGCATGTCGCTGCTTGCAATTTGCGACGGTAAAGCTGTCTCGCCAGGACACTAGAAGACCGTAGCTCCTCTTTTCACATGCAAGCCAAGTCGGGAAGCCGATAAGCTAGAAGTCGAGATGAAGAGATGGACCGAAGAATGACCAATGCCCCTTGTTCGCACACCATGGCGTCCGAGGAAGAAAGCGTTGGACCTCGCGTTGAACAGCCCCTTGTGAAGCTACATCAACGACAAAAGGGTAGCCTGAGCTGTAGGTAGGATTCCGTTATAACCGACCTCAACAAATGCGACGGACTAATACGGGCCGAAGGGGCCGCAATTCCCGTCCACTCCGGCGAAGACCCGGCTTCGGAGCCGCCTCCGGGATCATGACGCCGGAAATAGAAGAAGTGATATACCTAGGTAGATAGATTGTGAGATAAGATGACAATTGTGTCACCTGCAATATCTCGCCCATTGAGAGGGTGGGGGATACAACCTCTGGGTGCCTGGAATCATGAATGGGAGGACCTGCCATCGGTCGGAAATATCCCTCGTGCAGCCATTCGTCCAAGTAACTGGTCCAGCGCCATTCCTTCCCAACGAGCTAAAATGGCTGAGATAAGCGTATCGTCGGTCACGCTGACGCTGCGCCGCCCGGCATCCGTTGCCGCTGTCTCTAAAATATATCTACCGTTATCTACAACTTCTAGACTACATGTCTTTGTTTGCTCTTCTCGGTGTTTCCTGCAACTCGAACCATACCTCGAATGCATGGATCTGGGTTCACACATCAAAGTTCGCTCTGGCGCGCGGTGATCTAGTATCATTCACATTTCTGTCTTGCCGCGAACTTCAATATGCTTTTCACATCATTTACTATTCTCGGGCTATGCTGGCTGGTGGGAGCTAGACTGGCCTCCGCAGTGCCACAAGTCTTTTACTCCGGAGACTATACCAGAGACCAACATATACTGCTTTCTTCTGACAAAGGCATGGCTCCATAATCCCTTACAAATACTGTAGCTTCTCAGACGGTCTACTGAGACTTTCTGTAGCGCGCTCTCCTGCTTACTTCAAGCACTCACTCTGGAATGACCACCGACAGTCCCAACAGGCGCCTGGTTTTGTTGCGTTTGGTGACTCGTATAGTGCCGGCATCGGCACCGGCGTTGATGGCGTCGAGGACGAATGCAGGCTAGGATCTCACGCATATCCCGTCTTAATCTTCACCGACCTGGCCGAAAGCCAAGCCCCAGGAACAGCAACATTTCAGTTTTTGTCTTGCACCGGGTCTACCACTAGTAATGTTCTATCGGGTGGCGATCACAGCCAGGTCGACAGCTTCAACAAGTCGGTCAACGCTGACTTCGCGGTACTCTCTATCGGGGGCAACGACCTGGGCTTTTTCTCTGTGATGAATGCTTGCATTTTCCGCTTTTACAGCTTCAACTCTGGCAGTTGCGAGACAGCTCTGCAGTATGTCACCGATCAGATCGAGAGTTCGGACTTCTCGCAGCGGCTGGAGATGGTCATTATGGAAATACTGGACACAGTGCAGTGGGAGAAGCGGCCGTGGTTCATCATCACCGTGACTGGCTATGCTCGATTCTTCAGCGTGGAGACCGATGAGTGCGACAATTGTACTCTCGGTGTCTGGTGGCAGGGGCCAAAACTCAAGAAGGACGTACGCCAGAGGATGAACGACATGGTCGTGGCAGTCAACGAGAAACTGAGGAGTTCCATCGAAGCCGTCAACTCAAGGTTTACGACCCCAAAGGTTCTGTTCGTCGATTACGACGCCGAGTTTGAAGGGCATCGTTTCTGTGAACCGGGCGTCATGGAACCAGCGTACAACAGGACCGAGACTTGGTTCTTCCTCGTCGGAGGTAAAGACAACAACCCGAACATGACGGATCCGACGCCGGCCCCGAATCGCACGACAGTGAGTACTGAGGGCGGTGCGAGCAGCAATACCTTGTCTCCGCTGTCACCGCTCGCGGACCCGGAGACATGCCTGGGCCCGGCCGAGAGATCGGGAGACTGGGGTTTGCTGGCTCTGTGTTACATGGCGAGAGCTAAACGCGACTATCCGTCGCTGCAATTTGCCGCGGAGGATGTCATGATTCGGAATTCCATGTGGTATGTCCCGACATCTTATGGGAAAACCTTCCATCCAGTAAGCTTTCGTTCTCCCAGTTTGACAGCTGGTCCTGAAACTGCAGCTGACAAAACTTACAGAGGAGCCTCGGCCACGAGGTGATTAGAGATGAAATCTATAGGATCTGGTCACGACTGGATATGGCAAGGTAGGACTTGCACGCAGTAGTTTGGGGACTGTCACCTGTACAGAACATACCCGGAAAGAGCATATGAATGGGGGGCAAAGCCTATTATTGTCCATCAGATGTCAGGTAACACCACTCACTCACTCACTGTGCTTCGTACAAGATACCAAAAGGCCGCTCTGCCGGGAAATATACGGTTAACTCACTGTCGATCATTTTAACTTCATCTCTTCCCCTTGTATATCATACCCGTTTTTCATAGGGCAAGATATACGCAGATGCAGGGCCACGTCTGCTTCTCACCGGATCCGAGTCGGGGAGATTGTCTGCTCTGGATCGCGGGTTACACAGAAGTTCCGCTCAAATGCTTCAGAGAGAGAGAGACCGGGGCCCATGCTGCAGGGGAAGGTGGGCGGCCCCTTTTGGTGAATGATGCACCCGTTTGGCGGGGTTGTTCTCTTGGCCCGGAGAAACTTTCGGCAAGATGGAAAGCTTTCGTTGGCAGATGCTGTCTTATTTTCAATGTACGCTGATTTATTGAGCTGCAAGCGTGGCAGCATGAATGTCGTTTAGGCCTTTGAGGCGAGGTATCTTGAGTGAAAACGAAGTTGATGTACATTGTTTGGGAAATTTTGGATGGGGTAGGCGGAGGAGCTTCCGAAAAGTGTCTTACGGTCCATCCATTCTGATACCAGGCAGCCCAATAGAGTCATAGACAGACGACAAGCCCCAGAGAAAAGTGGAAGGCTTCAGGATCGCGAAGTCCGATTGTAGTATTCCTCCGCTCCACCTCGTTCTTTTTGGACTGACTGAGCGGTGTCGTTCCGACCGCTGGAACATTGAACATCGCCCCGAACATCGCCCCGAACATCGCTGCGAACTCAACTGATCAACCGAGAGATGCCCCGTCTCGGCCCCAGTCGACGGTTATCGTACCCCTAAAGTCTCCGTTCGGAGCAAATGACTTGGTGTCTAATTTCTACACACTTTTGTGGCAACATGGCCTGCTACAGTTCAGGTAGGAATATACGACAAGAATCCGACGATGCGGATGGGCAAAGGGGGGGGCAAGACTCACGGCAGGCAAAGCATGCCCGTGACACATGACTAGGCTGTATCAGTGATGCTTACGGAGCTTGCGGAGTAGGTAGGTATGGTTTCTTTTGGTTCCAATGTCTCTCTGCATGTTAAAAAGTCTGGAACGGTCGTACACTTTACCCAACTCAGAGCTGAGCCATATCGGGGGTTCCGCCTTTTGAGCTTCAATTATTAATTCACACGTTTTGCCACAATTATACGGATACAGCTGCAGATGAGCATCCTAGACAGTACCGAGTCTGGAATAACGGCCGTTGATGATTCCAAACCAACCCTGTCAAGAGTTCGTCATTAGGCGGTGATCCGTAACCACCAGCCGGGTACCATGAGATCGGCCTTTAAGTGGCATTCTACCTGCTACCTATGTCCTTGACGAGTGGATTTACACTTTGAGACAAGTGCGACAAAGAAGAGCCTGCGAGCACGAGGCTCTGATATGTGTCCGATGAGATCCTTAAGACAGCAACGTATCGAGGTTCTGCTTGGTACATCATCACCACTTTGAGTCTCGATGAGTCTCAAGATACGGTGCCCCCGAGCAGGTCTCCAAATCCATTAGTTGTTGTGCCGCGCAACAGAATATGTCGAGAGCGACGGCATGGCCATCCCATGAACACAACCAAGAAGAGAGAATGTGCCTGATGAGATTGTGGGTGTACACTGCAGCCAGCAATGAACATGGGATTGATGGTAAACGTGTAGCCACAGGGTACTACGGGATATCCGTACAGATGGCAACTTGGTTTGTGTTGCATGCCTACTGTACGGGCCTGCATGTTGCACACCCAACCCTCGGCCGTGACAGCATACTGGTGCAGCACATCCCCGATGCGCGGGCAGCGGGTTCGAAATTCTCGGGGTGCTATTCGTGCCGTAAGGGGAGGCGGAGGGAAGCCGATGGACGAGCCGGGGGTGCAAGTTGAGGAGGAGCCTGATGATTGATCGAGATTGGGCCGTTCATCTTGATGGTCCACTTTCTGACGGGAAACGGAGAACTGCCCGGGCAGCACGGCCAGCAACTTTCGGGAATAATGTGCCTCGCTATGGTACACACCGTAGGTAGCCGTACCTCGTACCTGGTTCAGGCATGCTTGATCTCTGAGGTGAAGATTGTCAAGAACCCGTACGGAGTACAAGTACTTGAGTGTGCTGGTGTCGAATAGTAGCCATTGTCAGCACTATCACTTGTTCTAACAATTATTGCTTTGCTACTGTACTAATCACCTACGTACGGTACGGTAGTTTATCCAGACGATACTGCACTCAGTGGTGAAGGGGACCATTGCCACATGGCACGAACCAAGGCACAGAGTTACGGCCCCCGAGACGCGGCTTAACCGGGGGAATGTTTCCTGCACAGGCGCTATTTCGAATACAGGCAAGGTAAGGGCTGCCGTCTGCATCGTCTTGATTGGCAGCACCAGAGGGGGCCACGCTAGGAACTTACCGCTGGCACCCCACGCACGTTTTACATGGTGATCCAGCGAAGGGGGCACGGAACCTTGTGCTGTAGGTAGATAGTGCTGAACTGCGAGCTCTGTGTGTGCCCAGTGCCAGGAACATGCCCTCCATCCTCAGTCGAGGGCGTTTTCACCTGCCTAGAGTAGGTGAGCGGTACATACCTTGGCCTGCTTGGCTTGCTCGAGAAAGAGTCAGATAGAAGAAGAAGAAGAAGAAGAAGAATGGAGCGTGCTTGCGTGCCTGCATGCCCACGTTTGACACATTTACCCTTGCAAGTGGCAAGAACATATCGTATGCCAAAGAGGCTTGGGGTACTGAGTCCGAGTGTTGAGCTCATCACTTGCAGGTTTCCGGGCTGCCACGCTGCATGACTGTTTGTTACACGCCGTGGGCTAGATCGTCCGTACGATGATCGAGTCTATAGTGCAAGGCGAGAGAAGTTGAGTATTGAAGAACCTACTCCGTACTTACTCTTCCAATGGAACTCGACCCAAGGTCTAGGCTACGGGCACCTGCGTCAGATATTCGTGTCGATGGCCCGAGCCCCACGTCATCAACGTCAAAACGGACAATGCCCAAGCTTATTCTATGCGCAGTACCTATCTGTCCTATCTGTAAGCAGTCGACGTGAAGGGCAAAGGACTTTGGCTCACAACCAGCCCACGGCTTAAATATCATAGATGATGCCTAGGGTTATCTGGAAAGACTACAGTAAAACGAGGGTGGGAGGATCCAACAACTTGCTGCAGCCTACCTTACCTCTGTGACCGACCTTTCGGAAACTTTACAGTCGTTCTATGGAAGTACCTTACTGGGATTCTGACATAATTACTACCTTCCTTCGTACGTGCCTCACGAATACATTACATACATAGCAGGTCGGTGGCTCAAGCGATCTTTCCTTGTACGGAATTATAGAGGTCCAGTCAACTGAGCCAAGCAGCATGGGGATCCCCCAAAGTACTGGATACAATGACCGCACTAACGAGGGTTTTGGGTCTTTGGGATCGGGTGACAAGGGCAAAGACTGGGGCGGGATTCGATGACAGATCCCGCTGCACTCTCCCGGAGCTTTCTACCAAGTCCGAGCTACTTCGTACACTGCTGCGCTCGCTGCCACGCTGCGTCTGAAAGTGCGAAGTGTGCGAAGCAGCCAAGGTCCAGTCCCCAAGTCTCCAATATCACTCTGACTCCAGTCTCCCTCCCCCTTTCTTCCTCACTCAGCCTCTCCCACCGGGCACCGATCGACAAGTGGACAGGTATTCGTACGTCCATGGTTTGATTATCAATTAACTTTGCTTAGGTACCTTGCTTCATGTTGTCTTGCCGCACAGCCTTTACCTCGTACAGGCGCAGCGAACATGCTAATGCAAAGCTCTGACGTCTGCGGTCCGGTCCCGCCCACTTCTCTCTCCAGCATTGGATCTGCTGCTGGAGGAGCATAACTTGCCCCTGTGCTAGGTATCCCAAAGGTAAGGATACTTGAGTCTGGGTTGCTTTGCTTTGCCTAGCGTGAGGTACCGTACAGTTAGTTACAGTACAGACTACGGATACGCGTCTAGAGTGTACGAACATTCACACCACTGCTTCCCTTCCTCACAAATGCCGTACTTCTTCTCATCCTACCTCCAAATCCGCTTTCTTCTCATTTGTTCACTCGCATTTCCTTTCTCGTACCTTGCCTTGATTCTCCTGTTTATGGCCATCGATTCAGCCCACCTATCCTCTCTCAGCCTGGTCAATCACAATCTGGAAGACTAGTCACCGAGGCGGAAAACAAGACACTCTAAAAAGCCTAGAACTCAGACTCAAGCCTTCCATCCGCCCTGCCTTACAGGCTTCACAAGCATTGACGACTCAGCTGCTTTGTCCCACCCCGGCCCTAGTGTCATTTGGATACGCGACGGGAGCTTCCAAGCCTGTGTCGCCTGCGTTCCCCTCTCTCACTGAACTCAACTAACGCCTTTCATCCCGCATACGTAGGGCTCAAGGGCTCATTAGTACGAAGTACCTATCTTACCTTACAGATACTGCTGTTCCTCTTGCCTGTTCACCCCTTCATTTTCTGTTGCTCGTGCTCCGCGCAAACGTGGTACAAGGTTGGGACAGCTCCCAAAACCTCCACTTAGCAACCCCCCAGTCCTCTACTACTAGACGCACCGGCCGTCCTTCTTTCCTAGAAGACTTGTCGCGGTCCCATCTATCCATCCTTTCCTCTCGCCTCGCCCACTGCCCGCAATTCGCAGCCTCTTACTTCTCAATCTCCAGGCACATCCGCAAGACATCGGTTCACTGACCGTTCTTGTCGAGCTCCTACAACCGCTCGCCCGTCCTGATTCTCTGCCCGCGGGGTTGAGGCAGCGGGATTCGGATGGCATCACGCTGTGTTTCGAACGACTCGTGATGGACCGAGTGCTCCAGCGCCTAAACCTGCTTGCATCTCTTTTTAACGAACCACTAAAGCCAACAACAAAACCATTCTCTGATCCCGCGGTCTTACCAGACCTAGGTTCTTCAAACATCCACCTCGAGAATGGTCTACTGCGGCAAGGCCTCTCAGGGCTGTCAAAACTGCCGAACCCGTCGCATTAAGGTGTGTAGCAATGATCCCCTAAAACCCCCGAACGGCTCTTTGGAAAAAGGCTCTGGCTTGGCAATTCTAGGTTTCAGCTTCTTCGCTGGACAAAATCGCCCAAAACTGGTCCGTTGTTGACAAAGTTTCCCGTCATAGTGCGACAAAGTGAAACCCGAATGTTCACAATGCATCCGCGTGGGCAAGAAGTGCCCGGGGTATCGAGATCAACTTTCGCTCATGTTCCGCGATGAAAGCACCAAGGTTATCAAGAAAGCACATGCTCAATGGGGAGTTACCGATGGTGCTGAGAATGGTGCTGAGCGCGCCTCGGCCTCGACGGCTCCGTCACCGCCTGCTTCTTCGCCCGCTTACAGCCGGAAGGGCTCGCCAAATAGTACGAGGGCTGCATCACGATCAGGAGCCGCGAACGTACCTTCGCCGGCCTCAAGCTCGGCATCCGTTTCCGCCTCGCCTTCGTCGACGCACCGCTCTGCAGGCTCTTCATCTCCACCAGCCCTCCCAGCTGTCAAGGAAGAACACAACCGCGAGTCCAGCCCTCCGACACTCCAGATTGGTCCCACTCTCGAGGAACAGGGCGTGCAGTTCTACGTCAATAGGTACTTGATAGGGCATCCGGATGAACCCAAAAACGGCCAAGACTTGAACACTGAGGGGTGGATATGGCATCCAGCAGTACAAGACGTCATGTGCGCTGTTGGCCTTGCTGGCCTGCACAACCTGACTGGTAACCCCAAGATGATGTCTACTGCGCGAGAGAAGTATGGCTCAGCACTACGACATACTGGAAAGCTGATCCGGCCTCCGCATACACCGAGCATAGATGTGACGATGAGGGCCGTGGTGGCCCTCGCCATGTTTGAGGTTCGTCGCCCACTCTCTTCTCTCTACTAGGGCCATGCGTCTTTTGCTTGTTACTGTTGTTCATGTTGGCTAACCTGGCTTCTCGATCGCACAGGTCGTGAAAGGAACGCATCACTCCACAAGCACCGTACACGCCCACGTTATGGGCGGAGCTGCGTTGATGAGAAGCTGGTGTCCCATGCCTAGTGCTCCTTTTGCAGGCTTCAGAGCCTTATTGCAGCTTTGCTTCTCAATGGTAATTGCCCCTGATGATTTGATTTGTTCCGTGAATCTGACTTATTCTGCAGTTCATTCCTCTACACGTTGCTGGCATGCCCATGCCACCGGACTTTTACGACTGGGTTTCTTACGGTTCGCAACTCCAGCTGCCCATCGACCGACCATCGACCGACCTAGCCGTTCTGATTGCTCGATTCGTTGAAACATCGTCGATCATTCACAATCATGTCATCAGTGATGGAAAACCGAAGACGGCCAGCGTGATTCAGCAGCTTCTAGATCTTGATAAAGATTTGGCCTCGTGGGAGAATGGGCCGGAGGGGGATTGGATCTACCGCACCGTCCACGTTACCCATCTCCCTCCCAAGGCGGTATTCCAGTGCGAATACCACAAATACCATGACGTCTGGACCGCTCGAATCTGGAATTACTACCGATGGTGCCGAATTCTAGTCAATCAGAATTTGCTGGATCTGACGAACAAGAATCCGGTGTCCAGTTTATCGCTGGTATCAGCGGCTACGCGGGACAACTTTTTGAACTTGATTCGACATTTGGCGAGGGATATACTTGTTAGTGCGCCGACACATTGGCGACATCCGGCCCTAGACGGACCGGCGCAAATAACAGTGGAAAGTCCCGGCGGAGGAGGAGCTGGATCAGCAGGACTGCCGGCGTTGCTCTTCCATCTAAAAGTGGCGGGCTGCGCTCCTGGCGTGCCCAAAGAATACTGGGAATGGGCGTTGGGAATCATCCAAACAATTTGGGGCGACATGGGGATGTTGGCCGCACGATCGATGATGGAAGCCATGCGAGCACACGAAGACACGGTGCTGAGAACTGGGGCAGCTGGAATTTTGGCAGACGACTGGTAGACGGGGGAACCGGAAAAAGGAAATGGCGCAACGGGATTGGGTATAAGGATGGGTTTTGGTTTTGACGGCTTTGCAAGGGTCTGGAGCAGCGGTTAGGTCTGGCTGGGTGATACCATCGGTTTTGAAGCGGATATCTTCTCCCGAGCTGCATGAAAAATGACATGACAAGTTGATGAAATCTTAGGTGTGAGAAATATCCGGGAGCAACTTGGTGAGCGGCAGACCAAGTAGGTGGTGACTTGCAAGAGTTCTTGACGAGGTAATCCTCGACGATATAGCCGATGAGTTCCAATACTATCAGCACTTCGCAATGTTGATGACAACTTGAGTACATTGTGCTGTGATAGTTCTTCACAATATCCATTTGGTGTGAGGTGGCAAATGAAAAACAAATAGTCCTTTCTTTCGGCCATATTCGGGGTGGAGGTGAGGAACGATATTCTGATATATCAACAGTGCGTAATGACTTGGGGCACAGTCGACTAGCACGGTCCAAGCGGGAGATGGCCTATGAGCTCTTACATGTGGAGACCCGAGGCTCCCACGCGTGACCTCCACTGGGACAGCCCCCGTCTTCCTACCTTACCGAACCAAAGGCGGCCAGACGACGACATTCGACGGCTACGACAGGGCCAGGGCGCGGCGCATCGCAATTATTCCATCAGCCATCAAATCAGTATTGCCTGCTATCCGATGAGACATTCAAGATTCCTTCCAAGTCTTCTGCCATGAAGTAACCCTCACGGGCAGAGTTTCATCGCCGGACATTGATATCTCGCGTCTCCGTCGCCAAAGTGGCCCATCGCCACCCACATCACCCTTAGAGACCCCTCCATCGCGATCGCATCGCTTTCAGCCGCCACTACCGCACCAAACCACCTCACCAGGCGTGGAAGCCTACAGAAACGATGGCCGCTGTTTCTGATTCTAAAAAGAGTAATGCGCCCGCTTCTCGAACTCCAACGTAGGTGTGACAATACGCTGACCATAGCTTGTGCATACAGACGACGAGCAGACGATCAAAGTCGCATCGAAGAGGGACCCCAAAAACAAGCCCGATGGCCCTATCAAGCTTAAGAAACCTGCGCCCAAGTATAACAAGCCTGGAAACTGGAGAGAAGGAAGCATTGTCGAAGGTGAGTCGACCTGGACCGCGTGACGAAAGCTAGACTTGGGGACTGATCGATGTGACTACCACCAGAAGATAAGAAATCTAAGAAAGACGAATCCGCATCGATATCAGTCGCTTCTCCCGGGCCCGTCGTTAACCCCCTCGATGACATCGCGCGCGAAGCCTTCGCTACTGGCCGGCCGCTGGAGGATACCCCTGACCTACAACAATGCAAGCACTGCAAGAAGAGCATCCTCAAAACAGCCGCCAAGGCCCACATCGCCCAGTGTCTCAAGCTGAAGAAGGAGAAGGCGCAGCGGAAAAAAGAGGCCAGAGAGGCCCGCGAGCGAGCCAAGGAAGCTGCACGTGAAGAGGAAGCTAGAAAGGCAGACGAGGATCCGGATGGCAAGGGCGACGATGACAGCGATGGCGACGAAGATGCCGGCGACGGCAAGAAGGCTACCGGCAACAAAACCGCAAAGAAGACTGGGGGGAAGAAGACGGACGGCGATACCGGCAAGGGCAAGAAGCGCAAAGCGGACGGGGACGCAGAGAAGGGGCCTAAGCAGAAAAAGAAGAAGGAAGAACCAAAACCAAAGGCCCCGAAACCGAAAGGTATGGAATGTGGTGTCAGCGGGAATCATCTCTGGTTTCTAACTAGGTATAGGTCCCGTGGATGTTGAACGACAATGTGGTGTTCTGTTGCCCAACGGACAGCCTTGCGCAAGATCTCTTACGTGTAAGAGTCATAGCATGGGCGCAAAACGCGCCGTTGCTGGTAGATCTCTTCCCTACGACATGCTTCTGGCGGCGTACCAGAAGAAGAACCAGGCCAAACAGCAGAGTACGTGGTCCCTTGAACAATTTAGGGAGAATTTTCACTGACAACAAATCATCACAGAGGCTGCTCTCGACGCCAATGCCCCGTTAGAGGACGAAGACGAAGCCAACGCCGGGCCGGTCGACTCAGACGAAGAGACGGCCGCTGTTATGAGTGCGCTGGCGCACTGGAATCCGCAACCCGTGGTGCCGCAGCCAGTGCTCATTCCTATCAAGAGGCAGTATCAACTCGCTCGACTTCACGAGCAGCTGCAAATGGCGACGAATGGTGGAAGGACAAATATTTTCAAAGTCAACGGCTTTGGGGCGCAGAGACTGCCACATGGTCATCCGGGACTTAACGACACGGAGGACGCGCCAGGCGAGCTTGAGGACGTGAACTTTGGAGGCGCCCGCAGGTCTTCCAGCTTCAGCATCCAAAGCCACCCCCAGCGACGGCCGTCTGTAACAAGCAGAGGATAGGGTGGTGATGGCGTGAGCGTGGGGAAGAAGCTCACCTATCATGTTCTCCAGACACTTTTGTCAGGCCGGGGGTACCGTTGGATTTTCTTGTGGGATGGAGCGGCCTCTTGCAATTTTTACGACAAGGACGGACGGCGTTATGAATTTAGGCGGTATACCAATTGGTCGCAGCTGGAAAGAAGTTGCTTCTCTCTCTTCCCCCTTTCTCTGTTTCTCGAATTGCTCATTGGTTTCTGTTTCAGCAGCGGCGTTTGGTGGTTTCTGCACTAGGTCTCTCGCTCGCCGCTACGTATGGCGAAGTAGCAGCGAATGTGTGTATACATATGAAGGATGCGTTTCGCATGTAAGACGCAAAGAATGACAAGTCAAAAAAAAAAAAAAACTTAGATCTGCGATTTCCAGTTCATGAAAGCATGAGGAACAATAATGAAGTTGAACCCCGCGTGCCGTGGCGTAGAAATGCCATCCAGATCCAACGACACGAACCGTCAACTGTGAGGCATGTGATATAGAGCTGGGATTGAAAAGGCGGTGGGTCTGTTGTTCTGCGCATCCAAAGCTACCCCCGTCTGCGGATTAGCGCCGCTACAACACTTTCACGCGATGATGACGTCGTTGTAGCCAGGCTAGTTTACCCCGGATTTTCGCCGTGACCGCAAGCACTATCGGCGCCGAGCTGACCTCGGTACTACCTACACATCTGCCCCATTGACGAAGGGGTTCCGTCTTCGATCTTTGAGCTCGTTGATCTCTGCTCCTTGCCACTTACATGATATCCGTCTTGCATTATATACTGTCTACACTCCACGCGTCGCATAGAACAACAAGGATCTGTTGAACTGCGCCGACCTGCGGTGTCTTCCGCCTCTTTGTTTTTCTGGTTACATTTGCATGATAACTACTCCTCGTTGTTGAACCAGACTCGTCCATCCTTCCAAATCGCATACTACTCTTCCAAGACCATGGCGCCCGCGGGCGTCCTCGATGCCCTCGGCCACGCCCTCGCAGGCGCTCTGGGAACCGCCCTCTCGACAGCCGCAGTGTATCCCCTTGACCTCGTCACCACACGCCTCAAAGTCCAGCGGCAGCTACGAAGCGAGGACGCGATATCCGAAAAGGACCAGTACAAGGGCGTGGTGCAAGCCATGAGGGCCATCACGGCGCAGGAAGGCGGCATATCGGCGCTCTACACGGGTCTCGCCCAAGACGTCTTCAAGTCCATCGCGGACTCGTTTCTCTTCTTTCTCTTTTACGAGTACTTTCGAGGTACGCGCCGTCGCTCGCGTGGAAATCGGCTGTCGGTCCTGGACGAGTTGGCGGTGGGCGCGTTGGCGGGCGCCTGTGCGAGGGCCTGCACGACGCCCATTGCGAACGTGGTCGCGCGGAAACAGACATCGGCGATGATTGAGGGCAATGAAGGGGGCGAGGACGCGTCGGTCTGGGAGATACTATCGTCGATTCGCGCAGAGAACGGCGTGGCTGGTCTCTGGGCCGGTTACTCTGCGTCGTTGCTGTTGACAATCAACCCTAGCATCACATTCTTCCTCAATGACAAGTTGAGAAAGACTCTACTACCGGACTCGGACGAAGTCACGCACAACACCCACACTATATTCCTCCTCGCTGCTGCGAGCAAATCCATTGCGACCATTATCAGCTATCCCATACAAACGGCCAAGGCCAGACTGCAGATGCGTGGTACTGCTTCGCCGCGGAGGAGTACCGATTCCCAAGAAAGACCTCGTGCCGAGGACCTCGGCAAGGAGCCTTCTATTCCAGGTGCGCTGGCCAAGACTAAGGAGGCGCTTAATAATAGCGTGCTCGCCATCGTCTTGTCCATTGCCAGAACTGACGGAATGACGGCCTTATACGCCGGGCTCCAGGGCGAAGTGCTCAAGAGCTTCTTCAGCCATGGCCTGACGATGGTATCCAAAGGCGTCATTCACACGTTTGTAATTCGTCTTGGTCTTCTGTTGGTGTCCTTATTACGGAGACAGTCGCGCGATGTTAAGTTGCAGCACATGAGACGGATTTTCTTCAGACTTCGATGAAAGGATTTCTGTTCATTTTCTCGTCGTTCCGAGGCTACGAGGGTTCAGTGCTGCGTAACTGTCTCTGAGAGCATGCTCAGGCATGCAAGACAGTCATTTCAACGAACAGCGCATGGACGGTGCCGTCTCCAGTTCATATGAACCATGATGTGTAGGTCATGGGCAAGATGGTGTTAGCATTGGAAAGCGACGCCGCTCCTTTCAACCTTGCTTGCTCCTCGAGCGGAGAACCCAGTGCCCTCGGATCTGAGTTCTATCAACCCAGCAAACTCCTGCTTGGGCTCTTTCTGCTTGCTGTCTGGACGGGCTGCCGGAAGCCTAGCATCGCAAACATAGCAAGCATTTTCTTGCGGTGTCATAAACTTCGCAGCGCAGTTGCGGCAAATGACGTGGCCACACTTCTCGGCCATGAGAGGTCGCGAGGCATTGCCGAGTGTCTTGACACACGATGGGCAGATGCGCCGGCTGGCATTGGTTTTCGTGTCGATCTCTTCTTTGAATTGGAGCGAAGTGAGGCTCTTGAGTGACAAGGAGTGCCGGGAATCGTCTGCCGAAGCCGGGCAGATGGGCGCAAGCTTAATCTTCTTGGGAGCGGCTGCCAAACCCTCTGCCATACGGGCTGCATTGGCGTCCGGTGTTTGCGATGGCGTCCAGAAGAACGGTATACTCTCCTTGGATGCCTGAGTGGAATTAGCATGGAACAATTGCATAACCTTGGTTTAGGGTAGATGGTAGCATACTTTCTCGTCTTTAATCAATTTTTTGGCCTTCGTGCGATCCTCCTTGGCGATTCTGTCCAGCTCGTCCTGGTCCAGCATGAATTTCCTCTTTGTAACCTGAATGTCTCTGGTGGGGTTGGCGTCGGCGCCCTCGACGGCCGTCACTTTGGTCGGTAGACTGGATGAGGAAGATGCCGTCGCAGCAGACGACGGTTTCAACCCTGCTTGAATACTTTCAAAGTCCTTGACAGCGCGTACTTGGGCTTCGGCATCCTGTTGTGCTTGCGCCTCCAAGGTCGCCTGCTCAACCTTCTCCCGGGCCTTTTCTTCGCGCTTGATCTCCTTCTTCTGCGCGAGCAGGTTGGCTACGGCGCACTCTCGACAGAAAATATCGCCGTGACTGCATGAGACTGGGTCCCTGGCTATCTCAAGGCAGAGATAGCAGGAGCCAAAGGGGAGAAAAGAGTCTCGCGACAAACGGGCTGAGTTAGATGCCCATGCAGCCTTGGCCATATCACGCTCGTAAGAGGTGAAGACGGCACGCGACGTATTTCGCTTGCCTAGATGCCGTTAGAACTATGAGCAAATACATATAGGGGGGTCGTCTTGAAAGTTGAGGCTTACTGTGTGCCATGGTTTTGCTTGTGACGGGGAACTTGGCGATACAGATAAATCTGCAAGAATCGACCAAAAAAGGTTGTCAACCCTGACGTTACAGGCGTAGTATGAATGCTTTGCTGTTCGACGACTTTGGGTTATCGATTTGGTTGGTTTGAGGAATGAAGTAGTCGATTGTGAAGAAGTCAAGTACTAAAGCAAGGTATCTGAATAGATGAGTGGGTAAGGAAGTTGAGGCAGGTAAGGATACCATTGTCTAGGCAAAGCAGAAAGACACCTCCAAATGACAGGGAACATGGCCCAGGCGCGCTGAGCCGTGTCCGCGGTACGGATACATATGCACATATCGAGCGTGTCTACCCTCTTAGCGAGATGATCGTTCTACAACGACCCACTCTAATGTAAGGCAGACAGCTTTTTTTTCTTTCGATTCTCATCTTGATTCCAATCGACGGCCAAACTCGGAATGCCAATGGCATATACGATCTTCTTCTTACTGTTCATACACGGCGTGTGAAATTTTTGTCAATTACCTTTCCTAATCACGTGTTTGTCATTGGCCCGAAGCGGTGGATTTATGACGCGGTTGATTCGCTCCAATCACCGTGTCACCTACTGTCACTCGGTCACTTTTCATCCCTTTCACTCTTTTCACCAGTTCGGGCCGGGGAAGGTCAAAGACTGTTTTCACACGCGCTCCACACTCGTAGGAAAACATGACAGCCTTGGAGGAGAGGCCGAGTGAGCCAAGTCTGCCATGGCGGATGGCGTCTTCGGCTATAATGGGCCTCACTGGTGCCATCTCTCGAGCCTTCTTATACAGCTTTCATGACGTTCAGACCGAGAACCAAGCTCGTTTCTTAGAAGTTCTAGACAAGCGTCGAGCAGAGACCCCTGAGCGTGGTCTCATCACTGGTACTTCTTGCCCGTTTTCCTTTTTCTCTAAGATGACCGAAGTCATGACTGACAGCCATCAATTGTAGTATCAAACCACATCAGCGTGTGAGTTATTTAGAAAAGATTCTGTCTCTCGTGTCGAGCTGATGAATCTTGAATCAACAGTTTAGATGACCCCTTAATTTGGGGTGTGCTGCCGCTCAAATACAATATGTACTCTCTGAGCGCGAGATGGGGTCTAGGTGCTCACGACATCTGCTTCAAGAACCCGTAAGTAATACCATCTTTCAGTTTGATAACGAGGAGCTACCCCTAACAAGATAACAGTGCCTTGAAAACTTTCTTCACACTCGGCCAGGTCTTGCCGACATATCGCTTGCTGCACTCACCCTATGGCGGCTTATTCCAACCCACCATGACCCAGGCGATTCGCTTAGTATCCGGCCCCGGAGCACTGTTCCCTTTCAAAGCGGCCTTTGAAGCTGGGAACAACGAGACCTTCTCCGCGCCCACCTTCTACAGAAGCAAACACGGCGCGTGGGTTCACGTGTTCCCAGAAGGCTGTACACACCAGAACCCCGAACGGACCCTCCGATACTTCAAGTGGGGTGTCTCACGGTTGATCCTCGAATCCGACCCGGCTCCCCAGCTCGTTCCCATGTTCATTGACGGTTTCTCAGACATCATGCCAGAGGACAGGAAATGGCTGCGATTCCTTCCACGCATCGGCGCCAAGATCCGCGTCTTTTACGGCGAGGCCCTTGAAGTGGGCGAGGCTTTCAAAGAGCAGCGTCAAAAGTGGAAACGCATTGTGCAGAAAGAGGTGGAGGCCCGAGGCAAACCATTGAGCGTCGGTGAAGTACTAGAGTCCCTGAAGGACCATCCCGAAGCGATTCAGCTGCGTATAGAGGTCGCCAAGACTGTCAGAGACATGGTACAAGAGTTGAGGATAAGTGCGGGTTATCCTCGAGACAACCCGGCATACGCTCTCGCCGAGACATGGGAGCGCGAGCCCAAGGACAAGCAGTTCAAGAGTCCTGTAGATGACAGCCTGGTTCACAAAGAATAATGACACTTCGACTTGGATGGCGGCTCATAGAGGGCACGCCATGTGTATAATCTTCCACACCTTTTAAAAATACAATAAGCGGAACTCTTGGAATGCATTCTTTATTACTTGGTTGCGAGTAATACTCGCGACTGTCATAATCATCCTCGATTCCGCACACAACGCCGAAAGAAGCGCAGTCCTCAGTAACGCCCGCAATGCCCCTTGGCAAAGCCTGCCAACAATGCCGTATCCTCCACCATGAAGTTATCACTCATCGCTGCCAATGCCTATGATGCATAGCAGATCCCCGTTCCTGTAAACCCCTAAACCACAAATGCATGCGGGCGCCTAGCCGCGGTTCGAAGCTCGAGAATCAGTAATTTTCGTAAGACCCTTGTCCTGGGTAGGCTCTAGCTTGTGCTTGCAAAGCTTGCTGCTGATGCTGTTGCATGACGATATCGTTGAACCAGGGATGCTTGAGGGCTTCGTGAGCACTGATGCGAAGTTCGGGGCGTAGCTGAAGCATTCTTTGGAGCAGATCAATGCCCGTGGGATCAATCTGAGGAAGAATCTGGCGAAGGTCTTGGGTGGCGTACATCTGGAAAGTGGGCTTGTACTCGGGGAATTGCGTAATGCCAGTCCAGGTTCGTTCGGTTGGGGTTCCCATAATGCGGAAAATGCGAATGATCTGGTCCTCGTTTGTTGTGCCAGGGAACAGCGGTCTGCCCGTGTACATTTCCGCCATGATACAGCCCGCAGACCAGATATCAATGCTAGTGTTGTACGTTCTGCTGCCCAAAAGGACATCTGGTGCACGATACCACAGCGTGACCACCTCGTTTGAGAACGTGTTGACGGGAATGCCGAAGGCGCGAGCAAGACCGAAATCGCCAAGCTTCAGTTGTCCCTTGCCGTTAATCAAGAGGTTCTGGGGCTTTAAGTCTCGATGTAAAACTCTGTTCTGGTGGCAGAAGTCGATGCCTCTCAGCAGTTGATACATGAACGACTTGATCTGGTGAGGCTTGAGGGCGCCTCTATCGCCATGGGTGTCCATGTATTTCTTAAGATCACCATCCATGTATTCAAACACCAACATCAGCTTATTCTCGGTGTGAATAACATCGTGAAGGGCGACAATGTTCTCGTGCTTCAACTCCTTCATGAGCGAGATCTCCCTTATCGCCGTCGAGGGGGTGCCTTCTTCCGAGTCCAGGTGGATTTCTTTGAGGGCGACGAGCTCTCCTGTCTGCCGATTGCGACCTTTGAATACCTAAAAATAAACAGTCAGTCTCTAAACAAATGAAGCTGTGGAACTGAAAGGGCATACAGTGGCATAGGTGCCCTCGCCAAGCTTCTCAAGCTGCTGGAACGAGCTTGGGTGTCTCTTGCCGTCCATGTCTGCTGGTGGGAGCTGACAATGATGTTGAGGATGTGGGTAGTGCGGAAGGGTTTCGCCGTTATGAACGGGTCCGAAGAACAAGGTTCTGAGGCTCGGCTTGAGATCGTAGAGGCAGGCGTCGACGAGGCTGGCTGGGAGAGGGAAAAAATAGAGAGCTGCGATGTGCGCTGGCTCAAGATGTGTGCTGCGATAGGGGCTCGCACGACAAGTAAGGTTGCCTGAAAACTCTGTATCTGATTTGCTTGGAATCAACAGTGTGATTTGTGGTCAACTGCTAATGGTATGATCAAGCAATAGTGCAGTGCGGATAACCAAGTGTCTGTTCAAATTGTTGTCGGAGCTGAAAGAAGTGACGACAGAAAGTGGTGCGGAAGCGGCGTGGTTACTGTTGGGTCGCATTCAGCCTGTCGGTCGACCTTGCACCTTGCGGAGACGTGAAGAGGAGACCGGGACCCCACCACCTACTACCCAATTTTGCTATCTTGTATCCGTACCGGTGCAGTATTAAGGTACATTTTTCCAAGCTACAACTGAGACAGATTTTAGAGAAAGTCCAACTTGATTTTAAGAGTATAATGAAAGAAGAAGATAAAATAAATATGTATATATTTTTAGGAAAAATAAATGCCAAGGTACATAGTATTAAAATCAACATCACTTTCTTGCTGTGGCAACGTGTACCTAACTTAGCGCGTTATAAAGGCAAAGCAAATCAACGGCTCTCACCTTAGGTACCTAGGTTCGGCGCGTGGGCAAGGGACTGGTGACCGACCAGCTGTTTCCCGCCGCCCCCATTCTCCATTATCACCCCGCACTAGTACAGAAGGAGTCACTCGCTCCACTTGGGCCTCTTATCGCCTCTCCACCCTTGCGGGATGACCTTATCGCCATCGGACCCCTCTCGTGTCGTCGGTCAACGACACTACCTAACCTTCCAGATTACTTTACTTCCCTACCCTACCTTACTATCTCGGCCTGGCCTTCCGTCAACGCTACTAGATGCATAGGTGGCGCTTGAAAGCCCTACTGCGAAGCTTTTTCCAATATCAACGTGAACCACATATACGCTCCAACTAGTAACGATCTGATGATACTATCGCGTCGATATGCGACCCTTAGCTGGATGCGACTCGTTCCCGGGGAATGTCTCCTCAGGTGATGGGGCCACCGAAAGCCTCGCTTCGGCTTCACAATCTACCGCCTCACAAATGTCCTTCATCCTCGCCGACGAAGCTACCATGGAAGCCTCCTTGCCATCGCATTCCCTTTCTGCTCATCGACTGCGTGAACAGCGGAAACAAGCTACATCCGCGACCCCCGGCGACGGATCAGCGCAGAAACGTGAATCTGGCACAGCTCCACCACCTACTCCGCGATATACATCGTCTTTACAACCCCATGATGTCGTTTCTCATCGGCCAAATTGTACCAGCAATCCATCACCAGCGGGTATACAGACGCCTCCTCCACCGTCTCTGTCTCAACCTATGACACCCATACTCTATGGCGTGTCAGGACCATGCTCCGCTATCAGCAGTTCTTCGTCGCGGCCCACCTCGCTAGCTGGATCGCTCTCCGAATACCAGGAAAGCTTTGTCATGAGTGCCTTCGGGACGTCGGACGCTGGTCGCCCCCAAAGCATATACAGTGGCGAGGTTGCTCAGCAGTTCATTATGCCCACCATCAACGTCCTAAGTCGGAGACCCTTCACAGAAGCTGGGAAGGGCCTTGGCAGGCTTAAGCTTCTCGTAGCTGGCAGATCAGGTATTGAATGATGACTTGCCTCCAATAATGATGCATTCGCTAATAAAACATGTGCTTCCAGGCGTAGGGAAGACAGCTTTGATCCGAACTATAACACAAACTTGCTCGCACATTGTACACGTTGATCCTACTGTGCCGGTAGCAATGGCGTCCAAAGGTTTCCTGCCAGAAAAGACGATGCCGAATAGTCCTCCAATATCTCAGGGCACTTTTCAGATCACGGAGACTTTAGCCAGCACCAAGCCGTACCCGTCCTGGTGGAAAGATTCGGCCTTTACATCCCCTGCGCCCACTCCGAGTCAACCCGAGGACACAGTATTAGACAGAAACATATGTCTTGTTGATACGCCTGGATATCAGGAAACATGTCGCGTATGTTCTGCGAGTCTTCCATCTTCCACGAGACACAACGAGCTAACGGAATCATAGCCTACAGATACTGTGGGCCAAGTCTCACAATACATTGAATCGTACCTTCAAAAGAGTCGTCTCGACGGTCTAGAGGACCCCGATGTTCTAAAAACAATCAGTGGAAGTGGCGGCTTACTTGTTGACGCAGTGCTCTACATGATCCCCAGTTCAGGTAAGAGCCTACATTATCAAGAGTTGAAAGCACAAACACTTAAGTGCTTTTAGGCCTGTCCGCGACTGATATACATTATCTCCGTCAACTGGATGCCCTGACAAACATCATACCACTCATCGCGCATGCCGACACCTTGACATCGGAGCAGACAGCGGCAACCAAGAAACACATTGCCCAACAATTTGCTGAGGCTGGCCTCGGGTTGTTCTCCTTCGATCCCTCGACGACTAGTGTGGGAGAACAACATATCTATGCTGCTTCTAGCGAGTTGGGATCAGATTCTGAGGTCATGGACGCCAGTCTGCTCATGAGCTCCGAATACGTGCAACCTCTTGTGCCCTCCGATCTCTCACAGCTAATGGAAAACATATTTTCCGCGAATGGCGCAACTTGGCTTCGCCATGCTGCAGCAGCAAAGCTTTTGGGTTGGCGCACTCGTCATCCTGGCCCCAGTAACGTCTCCGGCTTCGCCTCGAAGTCAGAAGGTTCAAGGGATATGTGGTTGATGCGTCCTCGAGCCGGATCACTGACGCCTCTTGCCATGAGTCGCGTTCAAAACTATGCTACTTGTGACGAACGACTCTGCCGGGTGCAACTCACGAACTGGGCGGCAGATTTACAACGTAGTCTGGCCAACGAAAAGCGGGTGCAAGAGCGTAGGGCATGGGAGCACGCGGCTATGTTGTCGAGGGAAGCTTGGAGAGATGGCCGCTCTACTTCTGGCGGTGATAGCGCAGATATGGCGTTGACAAGAACTAAAGGAAGGGGTGAACGTCGGCAGTCCCTTCGGAAGAGGAGACACAGTACAGGCTCTGGCGTAGACTGGGGGCTTGCAAGACATCAGGATCCTTTGGGTTTGCTTCAGCTCAATGCCGACTTTAGATGGCAGGGTTGGAAGACGTTGGAAATGGTTGGCGGCATTGGAATCTTAGGAGGTTTGGCGTGGTTACTTGTTTAGAGTCGAAGGCGGCAGTACTGGATCGATGATGGCATCTGGAGAAGGCGTTTTATCTGAAATGATAGTGACTCTGGAGCATACATACCCTACTTTATTCGGCACGCGCATGGACTGACCAAAATATCACTCACCAATGGTACCTCGCTTTAAACGATGGGGTTCGTTGAAGTTGTGACCTGGAGAGCCTGAGTGCACTAGTGAAGCTATCCAATCAACTGCTACATGGCATTCGTACAACCGTCTCCAGTTTCTCTCTAGGTAGTTCTGCTCTAATTCTACATTATTTGTAGGCGGATATGAGGAAAATGGGGCTAACGTAATATATAATATATTACCACTTTTTTATAAAGGTACGTATAGATATATCGACGCCATCTTGCAGTTGATAGGATAGTGAGGTTCGCCCAGTGCCTTTGAGTCGTGATGACATTGACCACCCTGAACTTGAAAGGCCCACTGCCCAGCATAGAAAGTGTGTGGGTCGGTTGTACTACCATTCATTGGCTAATTGAAGTCTGCCTGCTTTAGGTCTGTTCTCCACTGTGCAGACGCGCCTGCTTTCCCGGGTTACCACTTGAACAACCTTGACCATCTACCATACCTTGCCTTACCTTACTCAGACCTTTGTGCCTCGCGTCCCAGAGGTGAAAGGTACTAAGCTCTTCAGCTGCAAGGTACTTGGCGACCATCTAGTTTGGGCTAAGTGATCGCAGCGACGCCTACTTCGGCTTGGTTGTTTTCGCAGCGTAAGCTTCCTTCTCGACAACCTTTTCCTTTATTGATTACATCTTCTTTTCTTATCCTCCTTCCATCGCCAGGTTCGCCCAACCGTCGCTTCTCCAGCTAGGCCAGTCCTTCTGTGTTTGCTTATCGTCTCTATTTCTTCCAAAGCAACAATCAGTCATGGCTAGCGAGGAAAGACCTTTGGGCGTGACGCCGCCCATCTCCACTGCTCTTCCCACTGAGGCGGAAATCCAAGCTAAGGAAACGCTCTTGCAAGAGTTGAGGAAGCAGAATACCTTCGAGAGCGCTGCGGATACCGCAAAGAGGCAAGTTTTCCATCTTTTGGCAGACAACTGGATGTTTCATGCCTGTTCTTGCTAACGATCTGCGTGGTTGAATATAGAGAGGATGTTCTCGAACATCTCCAGCTGATATGCGACGAGTTCGTGAAACGAGTGGCCCGGAAGAGGGAGGCAGGCAACGAAGCTCTCATCAGAGATGCCAGGGGAAAGATCTTCACATATGGCAGTTATCGTTTGGGCGTCTTTGGTCCTGGCTCCGATATCGACACGCTCGTCGTCGCCCCGAAATACGTTACCCGCGCCGACTACTTCGAAATCTTCCCCAACCTGCTGAAGGAAATGGCGCCTCCTGGTTCAATTACAGACATGGCTGTCGTAGCCGATGCCTTCGTTCCGATTATCAAATTCGAGTTTTCCGGCATCAGCATCGACCTGATCTTCTCTCGCATTGCCATGCTAAAGCAATTAAACAAGGAGTTCAGTGTTCAGGACTCCAGCCTGCTTCGAGGGCTGGACGAGGCGGAGCTGCGATCGCTTAATGGCACACGAGTCACAGACGAGATTCTCAGCTTGGTTCCCGAGAAAACCACCTTCAAGTTGGCCTTGCGTGCTATCAAGCTCTGGGCACAGCGCCGGGCCATCTACGCCAACATCATGGGATTTCCTGGTGGCGTGGCTTGGGCTATGCTGGTTGCCCGCGTCTGCCAACTATACCCCAAAGCCGCAAGCTCTGTAATTGTCAACAAATTCTTCCACATCATGCGCCGCTGGCCATGGCCACAGCCTGTCCTTCTGAAGCACGTGGAACCCGGCCCGTTGCAGGTCCGCGTTTGGAACCCCAAGGTTTGCACTCACTACTTCCCTAACCCTGGCTCCGTATGTGCTAAACTCAGCATCTAGTTGTACAAGGGAGATCAGTTCCATCTCATGCCCGTCATCACCCCCGCCTACCCTTCCATGTGCGCCACTTACAACATTACCCGGTCAGCAATGACTGTCATCTCGCAAGAGCTCTCCAGAGGGTGCGACATTACCGACAACATTATGATGGGCAAAAGCCCCTGGAGCGATCTGTTTGTCAAGCATACCTTCTTCACCAAGGGATACAAGTACTACATCTCAGTCATCACTGCCAGCACAGACAAGGAAGCACACAAGATCTGGTCAGGCTATGTGGAATCCAAGGTCCGTGTTTTGGTTCAAGGCTTGGAACAGCACGCATCGATAGCTTTGGCCCATGCATTCAACAAAGGTTACGAGCGTCGGCACAGATGTGCGAACGAGGGAGAAGTTTCCCAGGTTCAAGCTGGAAGTTTCTCGTTCCTAGCAAAGGACAGCGACATCAAACAAGAGGACATCAAGGAAGAGGTCAAGGAGGAGGTCAAGACAGGGGTCAAAGTGGAAACGGTTGACACGAAACCCGAATTGGGAAGCATCCCAGGGCTCAAGACGGAATCCAATGACATACCTGGGCTTAAGACTGAAGATGAGACACAGCCAGGAGTGAAGATGGAAGGAATCAAGCCGGAAGGCGATGAGTCCAATGCTCTCAGTCAGATACCGAAGCATAACCCTTACACCGACGTCTTCACCACCACGCACTACATCGGGCTGACCCTCAGCGACGGTAAGTCCGCTCACGACAAGAAATTCGAAACCCGGGCTCTTCACGCTTCCCCCCCTGTCTGGCTCAAAGTAGCATGGAAGCTGACTATCTAGGCGCGAAATCACTTGATCTGTCTTATCAGGTCGAGAACTTCAAAGCTCTATGTACGCAGTGGGAGAAGTATGATGCGACTCTCAACTCGTTGAATGTCCAGCATGTGCGGAGGTAGGCGATACAGACAGATATGCTCCCTTTGATGGTATTCGCTAAGTTCAGGACAGCTTCAACCTTCCCGACGACGTCTTTGATCCCAACGAAACGAAGCCTCAGAAGCCTCAGAAGAAGCGTGTCAACCCGAACATCAATCCGAACGCCAACCCGAATGCGAATGGCGCAGCACAGATTAAAAAGAGGAGTGCTTCAGAGGTACTGCACTGGTTTAGTTCACGGCCACGCCGGAGGGCTCATCGCAAGATCAGCGAAGCTTTGGTAAGCGCATGGCTGACACATTGAATAGGAAAACCAAGAACCACCCGCCAAGCGCCAGCAAGCTTCCGTCACGGCTGCCGGTTGAGTATGGACTTTGGACGCAAGCGTACCATACCATCATGCTCGACCCTAATTAAGAGTCATGTCTTACTGCGTCAGCATTGGTAGCATCTTTTGCCTCTGATCCACTGACCAATAGGCCAATTCACTTCTTCAAGTTTGACGTTCTCTAACGCGGACTGTCTCGTACCGTACCGAAAACTGGATAACACACCCAGAGAGAGAAAGCGAAATAGACCAAAAAAAGAAAAGGGGGGCGGATGGGGAAAGAAAGAAAAAAAAGATATCCATCGACGACCTGGCAGTATTCTGCTGCCATTATGTCCGCGTTATTTGCAAGACCCCCCTTCTAGTAACCCGGCTTAGGTGGAAATCACAAACGAAAAAGCAACAGTATACCTGATATGTCTTATGGGCTTTGGTAGGTAGCTCGTTCTGGCCTGAGACGAGCGGAGACTGCTAAAGAGCATCAGGAACAACACTGTCGCCCACGAGGATGCACTTTGGGACACGTACGCTTTGTAATGCGGGGCGGATTCATTTTCTCTATGCTTCTCTATGCTTCTCTACCCACACGCGGGCAGACCACTGGGTCAAGGCGAGGCCAGCTGGATACTAGATACCATCGGTTTAGAGGATTGACTATGCTTTGTCCCCAACTTTGCCCTTGCCTTGCTCTGATATCTTGTGAATCCAAGGGCCCCTGAGTATTGGCATCTGTACCTCTGTGCCAGACCAACCTAAGTGCTGATGTAACCGAGGTGATGCGATGTGAGACCCAATATCTGAGGATTCCTCCATCCTTCAGCCGTTGGCCTGACGTACTGATTAGTCAGGATTGACTAGAGCAGTGTCAAGTTCCCTCAATCATCATCGTCATCGCTGCCACTTGACCATCCCTCTCGATACGCTTCAGCAAAGTCGGCTAGCTCATTGCTAATGTCTTCTCGGTCCTCCACACCAAGAGAGGATGCAACGGTAGTACGCAGAGCATTCAGCGCAGCAGACACTGAAGTGTCGGTAGAAAGACTGGTCTTGACGCCAAACGACTCGCTCAACGGCTTGCCGCTTCCGTCTAGGTAAATCTCGGGGAAACTGTCGAGCATGGGGAAGCCCTTATCGGTGAGATACCTGCCATCTACAGTTAGTGATCGAAGTACGGGACTTTGAGATTATAATCATTGCTGTCTTTTCTGAAATACCTTTGTGTGCTGGTCTCTACGAGCGCAGCCCTCGGCCGCTGCCTGCCATCGCCGCCCTCGCTCTCGTCTTGTTCCGAGACCTGCTGTGAACCACGTGTAGTGATTGTCTGCCCGAAAAGGTGAGGCTTGCCGCTGCTTCCGCCATTCATATTCCTTCTTCCAGGAGTGGACTTGAGTCGGAGGATGTCGAACAAGTCCGTGTCCAGCTTGGTGTTCTCGCCAGCCTCGTCCTCGCCGGAAGCTGACTCTGGTGCGCGGATGTCTTGTTTCGTTTCCGAGGCGGGATCGACGATGCTCATTTGTAGGCGGCTCATGGTCTGTCGGCCGCGTAGGTTCAACCCACTTACTAGTTCGCCGAGCGTTGCCTGCAGACCGCTGCCTGAGCTGCTTGAGTTGAGTCGGGAAGCGAGTCCTGCTGTTTCCATGGCGGTGCTCAGGAGGGCTGTGGTTTGCCATGGTGATTGCATGTCGATGCTGAGGTTGGAGCTCAACCGGGTTTGGGGGAGAGCCATGGGAACCAGCATCGAGGCGTGCTCACACATATCCTTAACCGTTCTCGCAGTGTTGGCGAGTTGGAGGCGTCTTTGGTCCTGGCGTTTTCGTTAGCAAAACTCGTGGGATAGTAAGCGCGCAAACAGATCTTTGAAACTCACGATGCGCGCAGCGGGTACAGGAGTCTGCAGTCCCCAGACCCAAATCGTCGTCTTGCCGTACTCATCGCGCAGGCGTTCTACGTAGTCAGTCGCGAAGCCTCCCCAAGCGTCGTCTATAGTTGTCACGATCTGGAGGCCTTGCATCTGATCAGACTCCTCTACAAAGGGACGGAAATCCCGGTCGACGATGTCATGTTCCTTGTCTAGAGAATCAAACAGTTCCCTCCCCAGGGACCACTTGTCAAAGGGCCTGATGGAGGAGTTGATCTCATAGTCGTAGAGCTGATTGAGAGACTTTGGGTGGTAGTAGACGCGTGAAAAGTCGGACCAGTACCGCACGTCAGAGGACGTGAGCTTCGGCGCAGGCGTGCCGCGGTCAAGACTCTGCTGGTAGGCGCTTGGCTCTACCAGAGGTTGTTTGTGTACTTGAGCAGATCCTTCCCTGAGGCCGACAATGACATGTTAGATGGCTGGTTCTAGGGTACTTTGGGAGGAAAAGCTGGCGGCTGGAGATCAAAGATGGGCGCGGGTTTACGGACCATAAGTGAGCAGGTGCCTCTTCCTGGCTTGCGTCGTACAAGGCGTTGATCTTGCGAAGCGAGCCGAAGCCGCCCTTGAGATCGTAGACGACGGTACGCGGGAGGAAGGTCTCGGAGCCATCTAGGGCCACACCCGGACGCCAGTGGACGTCGTGGTTCACCGGGGACTCGTCCTGGTCGGAATAGGTGAAGTAGGATTCCTGGGCAACAGGGTCAGCGTGTGTGTGTCGTATTAAGACGCATGGGATTCGTCGGTGCTAAAGTTATATATCTGAATACCTGTGTGTTCCAGAAATGAGTTGCTGCATAGTTGCTCAACTGGCCTAGCTGGAGAGTGATGATTTCGTGCATCTTGTCTTTGTCCCGACTTGGCTTGGATTACTACCCGACGAGAAGGCTATGTCAGGCTGCACCAATCATGGAAGGTCCGGCAAAGTGAGCCGGGGGTTTACTGCGGATGGATCCCGGAACTGGTAGGGAACGGAACGGGAACTTGGACTTTGCAATCTCATGGCCAGGTCCATTTGGGCCGTTAAAGTGCGTCAAGTGAACCCGGGTAGTGGGGTAGGTCTTGGGCGTGGGCCGGGCTTAGGGCGACCGGCGACGGCATCCGACCCCATCAGGGAACGGACGCTGCTGTACCGTCCCGTCTTCAATCTATCAGTGCACCTCGTCTGGCCGCACCTGTTTACCACTGACCACAGTTCAGGAGCGAGATTTTCCACATCACGATGAGGTAAGCAACTTAGGTATCCGTAGATGCTCATGGGCAGGTAGGTGATTCATGATCGGCTTGTGAATGGACTAATGGTTTTCTCATCAAGGGCGAAACCATGTTGGTCCTTATTGAAAACAAGGGAGCGTTAGCAGAAACTGAGCTGGCGCACCACCAGCAGGCATCTAGGATAGGAAAGCTGGCTGGCACGCGTCCGAGTTGTCTCACAGCACGGAGGTTTTTAGATTCCAGCACAAGGAGAAATACGAAAATGGGAGCAGACAGTCTCTTCCCCCTTGAGTGGGGGCCAATCGGGGTTCCCATTTCGAGGTCATACACAAGTCATCAGGCCGAGTTTGAGTCAACCTCGGCGAGCGAGATGCGCCGCTGCACCAAGGCAAGGAATGAGGCGCCTTAGTATGGTGTTGGACCGGCCAAGGCCCATTCAGACATATTAGCAAGGGGTAGGTAGAAGCAGTTGGGCTGGTCCAAAACCCCCCAATATCGACTGGTGTTCAGAGCTTTGGCTTTAGGACATGGCAGGGCGGACGGTTTATTGTTAATTGGACCTTTGGAGGTATCCGTACTCCGTATTGACTTTAATACCTTATGTAAGTGGAGGTCATTACGTCAGATGGAGGTGGCTCTGGGCACATGAAGGTCCCTGACCTGCGTACGGGATGGAATCCAGTTCGTAGGTAGGTTGCTGAAAATGAGGTGTGTGAGAGCTGAAGGGGACAGTGGAGGGCTCAAAGAAAATGCTTGGGAAGGTTCACCTGAGCTCAGGGCAGCCAGATTCTCGGTGCGTCGTACTGTTCAGTGAACTTCAATGACACTGTACGCGTGAAGTGGTAGCCCGACCAGCAGGATAACCTGAAAACATGGAAAATGGGAGGGCAGATGGGGGGGAAAGAGGTGCGCTGTGGAGCAAAGAGCACGGGCCGATCAGCAAAGATACCTACCTACCTTACGGAGTACGTGCTAGGAGACGGGCTGGGGCCGCGCCCCCCTCCTTATGCCCCCCCCTCTCACCCCCCCTTCCATTCAACTGAGGTGCTCTACCATAGGCCCCGTACAGTGCAGTGTTACCAATTAACGCCTCCCCCTTCTCCCAAAAAAGCGACGCGTTTACCAGAATTTCGCGACCGACACCTTCTCAAACCCTTGCACATCCAACTGTGGCTTTCACACAACTTCAGCTCCCACCACTCGGGTTATCTTCCTTTCATTATCTTATACCTTCCAGTACGGAAGACCTACCACTCTCCTACCTTCAGTGGCGTCACTGGAACGGACATCACAACAATAGCAGTCGCTTCTCTACAAGCAACGTTCCTAGTTGCCTTGTTCTACCATACATCCCGAGAGCGTGTCGCAAGCGCGGCTCAACACCACCGCCCGCCCACCTTTACCAACCTCGCGACGTCTACTACCATTTCTCCTTCCACATAGGAGCGCCAAATTTTTACTACAGTCACCTTACCCCCGTCTCACATTGTCGCAGAAATTATATAGACACCATACCTCTTTGTGGCACTTGCCTGCACCGGACTTGAGAACCAGCCCATCCAGCCCTTCACCCTTCACGACTTGACGAGACACGACTTTCCCGTTCCTTCATTCCTTACACGTCTGAGACCAACTACTTCAATCAACCGCCCGCCATTGTTTATACCTTCCCGCGCTCCGCCTTCCGTCCTGTTCTGGCCCTTTTCGCACAGAGGTGCCGCATGCTCGAGGCTCCTCCACCATGCCCGCCTCAGCAAAGCGCTCTCAGCGCACTCGTCGCGACACTCGCCGCGATACCTCCCCCGCAAGATTAGAAGACAGCTCCCCAACTCGGCCAGCAAAGCGCAGAAAGAAGGTAATTTGATTCATCCCTCACTCTGACACTCCGGCCCTTTGATTATCGATGACTGACGAAACGTCGCTTCGACCAGGTCGATGACCCTCCGCCTACCGAGCCCGCCGACGATGACGAATCCAACCTCACTGCCGACCAGTCGGCTCAGCCTGTTAGCGACGATGATCAGCTGCTCGCGCAAGTAGTTCAGCACTTTCAAATTCCCAAGGAGGGCGCGCCCCAAGCCAGCAAGGATCATGCGAACTCGATACACGAAGCCAATGGCAGCGGTGTTCAGGCCTACGCCAAGATCGCGGCCCAGGACTGGACTTTCTACATCACAAAACTGATCGTCAATATTGGACGCCCATCCGAGGGCGTCACCGAGGACGACGAAGACTTCATTCACATCGATCTCGGCCCGAGCAAGATGATCTCTCGACAGCACGCCCGTATTTACTTCAGCTCCAAGGAAGAAATCTGGTTCCTTGAGGTCAAGGGAAGAAATGGTGTCAAGGTTAACAATGTCCCCATGAAGCAAAAGAGTCTGAGGCGTCTAGAGGGTGGTGAGGTTTTAGAAGCCGGTGGCACGGAGATGATCTTCGTTCTTCCAACCGAAATCAGCCCCTTACACATCGATCCTCTCTACCTCAAGAGGGCTGGATTATCGCGTCAACAGATGACGAGTCCTCAACCGAGAATGGATCTGCCGGATGAGCCATCGTCAGCCCTAGGCTCGACCATTAGAAGTTCTCGTGGCTCCCAATTTCGCCAACCGATTGCGCCGGCTCCGGCAGACTACAAGCGGCCCGGAACCCCTCCTTCTGCCATCCGCGGCAAGCCTACGCCGTCGCAACACAAGTCACCACACTACTCAAGCTCAGGCACTCTGCTAATGAACCCCACCAACGACATTGATCTCAGCCTTGACGAGAACAAACACATCAAGCCTCAGTACAGCTATGCGCAAATGATCACCCAGGCAATCATCAATACGCCCGAAAGGAAGCTGAATCTCAATGGTATCTACAACTTCATCATGAACAACTATGCATATTATAAACACCAGCAGGCTGCTGGTTGGCAAGTAAGGCTCAATGCTACCAGATCCCCCTCTTAACTCACTCTTACTAATGGTTCAAAGAATTCGATTCGCCACAATTTGTCGTTGAATAAGGCCTTTGACAAGGTTGCCAGGTCGACAGACGAGCCTGGGAAGGGCATGAAATGGCAGATTGTCCCAGAGGCCCGGGAAGAGATGACCCGAAGCGCATATAAGGGCGGGAGAGGCGGCCACAGAGGCTCTTCCGCGCCATCATCACCCAACAACCAGCTCAACTACATTACACATGGACCGAGGGACGTGAATGCCAGAGAGCCGGCGTCGGCGCGGAAGAGGAAGGTATCCGTAACAGGATCACCTCCGAGCTCCTCATTAGCCGCCGTGCAATCGACTCCAGATCGCAGCACACGCCGCCTTGCCCCTCCGAGCACTGCGATGACCATTGATGGCAGCCCTCTACCGAGGCCGCGAAAGGGCGGTACATCTGCATCCAACAGCTTTCCCTCCACCAGCTACCACGATCAATCACCCACACTCACCTCATCCTACCTACCAGACGAGGGCGCGTCTTTCGTTACGCCGGCCCCTCACCGTGTTCATCCCCGACTGGCGCCGCCAAGCACCGCACAGCGGCCCAGCCAGCACATGCCGACCAGTTCACCAGCGCCCTTCTGGAAATATGCAGATATCGGCAGCACCCCTTTGAAGCCTGCTGCTCATTTCGACATGAGTCCATCTAAGCCGTCTTTGGGCGGCATACCGCAAAGTAGCAGTCCACCTCCTGCGAAGTCACCAAATCTTAGCCCTACAAGGTCACAACACAAGGAATCATCACGGGAGGCGCCGAGTGAGCCGTCGAACCCACCCGAAATTGAAGAAGACCAAGGTTTCGATTTAGCAAAGTGAGTATTTTTCAACGCAATCCTACACACTTGTTTACTTGACTGACATTCAATCTAGGGGGTTCCAAAGTATTGGGTCATATCACGCACCTGTTGGCCGGGGATTGTCAGTAGCTAGCGCCATGAACGGCCACTCTTGAGGCAATGATGAGCCGCTTTTGGCAGGACAATAAAGCCAACGCCTCCTCCTCAACCTGATGTGCTACAGTGAATGTGCAAATCAAGAGCATACGTGAGAGTGAAGATAGTTTAATTCTGAAGGGCTCCACCCGCTCATGCCACCATTCCTACGTGATACTTATATATATTTATATACGTCGTAGTATCCACAGATGCACCGACCAATGCTTTTCCTACTCCCGTCCGAATGTTTACAAGTACAGATGCCTGCCTAGGCGCCATCGCCATCCATTCAAACATTCAAAGATTCAAATATTCAAAGATTCAAAGATTCAAACGCGAGTGCCTGGTCCGTTACAGCCAAAGAGAAACCGCTGGCCCGATCATTCATAGTTTGAAGCTTGGAGACTTTACTTCGAAGACTTGCCCCTCCTCTTAGGGTTGCCTCGGCTAGGTCTTCCCTTGGAAGGCTTGCTTTGGTCAGTACCCTCGATGAACTTGATCAGCTCATCGATACTGCGCGAGTCCATGCCTGAGGGGTTACCCAACGGCGAGCTGCTGCTAGGTCCAGCGGACACGCTGGGGGCAGTAGCGGAAGCCTGGTAGGGCGCACCCTTGGGTGTGAAGCGGATGCCTGCGCGCAAACGACGGGCCTGCGCGTCCTTCTGGTGCTTGGCAATGGACACGGCGTTCTGCGTCAGCTGCTCGAGCCAGCTCTCGGCCTCCTTGGTGTTCTTATCCTCGGGTCCGAGCTCGCCAAGGAAGATGTTGTAGGACTCGCGCATGCGGCTGACGGCTCCCTTAGAGTCTTGGTCAAGGGCCAGAGCCTGGGCAAGCTGGAAAAGGAGAGTGGCGGCGTTGATAGAGTTCTTGCCGAAGACGCTCTCGCAGATGCGGAGGGACTCTTCGAACCACAGACGGGACTCGTGGTACGCCTTGAGGTGCTGGAGCATAACGGCGCCGTTGTTGATGGTTGTGATGGAGTCGGGGTGGTCGGCGCCATAGATGATCTTCCACAGCTTCAGCGCGTGCTTGGCGTAGATGAGCGCACCGTTGCTGTCGCCAGCTTGGTGGAGGAACAAGCTCAGGTTGAGGTAGTTGAGCAGGGTCTCGGCAGAGTCGACACCAACAGTCCTCTCGGAGACGACGATGGCCTTCTTGGCGAGCTCGACGGCCGCTTCTTTCTCATCCAGCTGGTAGTACAGCATAGACAGGGTGTTGTAGACGCGGGCGACTTCGGGGTGAAGGATGCCGTAAATCTGTTCATGCAGAGACAAGGACTCGAGAAGGAGCTCCTGGCCAAGCTTGCGCTGGTTCTGCATGATGGAGATGCGACCAGCCTCCAAGGCCTCCTCTGCAAGAGTGCTGCGAGGACATGAGTGCTTCACGATAGGCACAACGTTGACGATATCGTCTGCTGTGAATGTGGTGTTGGGAGGAGGAGCCGGGGCTGCTGGAGTCGCCTCCTTCGTCGCCGCCTTCTTGTTCTTCTTCTTCTTGTTTCCCTCGCCGTTTGTCTGTCCATTGGTCGCAGGGGTACCGTTGGTCGCAGGAGCCTGCTCAACCGGCTTGTCTGTGAAGTTGTACTCCTTTGCTTGCAGCTGGAAACCCAGCTTGAGAGAGATCTCACGAAGCACCTGCAGAGGCTTAAGGTTGGTGTAGAAGTCGGAATCGAGCTTGTACCGGAATCTCTTCAACGTCTCCTGGGAAATGCTTTCGCGGAGAGACTCCGGGGTGACCTTCTCAAAGGACAGATCAGCATCAGAGTACAGCGACTTCAGGAAAGCGTCGGACTCGGCTGCCGGTTTAGGGCTCAGCTTGTAACCCAAGAGGCAGTTGAGAAGGTGAGAGATGCAGGCTGATGAGAAAGGAGCCGGCAAGTGTCTGAGGTAGTTTGAGGCGACATGCTTGAAGGAACGGGCGACCATGTCCTGGACGCAAATATCCTTCAGGCACTGCAGGCGAGGCTCGGAGGCGAGCTGTGCCACCTTTCCAGTGTACCTGATGTTGATACCTCTCTTGTGCAAGAGACGACCCAGGGACTGGCCATCCATGGGGAAGCTGATGTCGCAATCGGTGAGCTCACGGACGAGGTCAGGAATGACCTGGTCGCGAAGGTACTTAGATGCAAGGCGAACATCCTCCTCGTCCTTCTTCATCTCCTCCTTCTCAGCATCGGTCTGGGGGACCTGGCCGCTGAAGACGTCGGGGTTGAGCGAGAATGCGAACTTGGAGAGGTCGATGTGATCTTTCGAATCCTTCGACTCCTTCGGTGCCTCTGCCTCCTTTGTCTTGGACTTCTCCGCCTTGATCTCCTTCTTGTTGGCATCCGACTCTTTGTCGCTCTCGCTTTCACTGTCGCTCTCACTCTCACTCTCCTCGCTGTCGTCACTTTCGTCACTGTCATCACTGTCTTCTTCCTTCGCAGAGGCATCCTTGCTCTTCTTGGGCTCGGCCGGGGTTTCGTCAGTCGCGCCCTTGGTATTCTGCCCACGGCGTGCCAGCTCCTCGTCAACCCAAGCCTTCATCTTCTTCCTCCCATACGAGTCAATCAGCTCCGGGCGAAGGACGGCCATACGGTGGGGGTACTCGACATCGCCCTCCTCCTCGAGCCAGTCAATATCCAGAGGCGTCACACGGTACAGGTCGAGGACATATTTGCGTCCGTCGGTTCCCAGCAAGCCCTTGGTTTCCACACTGGCCTCAAGATCGAACCGCTTGCCATCCTTGTCCCAGACAGCGTGCTTCTTGACCTTGATAGCCTGAGACAGCTTGGAGAAAACGTCAGCAAATCGCTCGTCCGCGGCAACGTTCTCCTTGCCATCCACGGCACCATAGTCGATCTGGTTTTCACCAGGCTCCCTCTGCTTGAAGATACCCGGGACAATGCTTTGACCAACAATGCGCTTGCCGAGGTAGTCAATAACGACCGTGGCAGGAGTAAAGAGACCATCAATGTCAAGCTGGTTCACTAGTCTGACTCCCGCAACGTCCTTGCCAGTAGCAACACGAGCTGCCTCATCGCCTCCCTCGGAAGTGAAGGTCTTCACGCCATCAGCACCAAAAGAGAAGAAGATGTTGTTGTAAACGAAAATCTGGGCATCTTTGCATTCCGTGGGGTTCAGCGGAGGGATCTCGCCACGGGCGACGAGCACAGCACCGCGAGTAGCCGCGTCGTTGTAGTCGGCGAAGAGCTTAGACATGAGACGCTCACGGAAGACTCGGTCCTGCACGGTTTCACTGGGAAGCTCTCTTGCGGATTGGAACTCCTCGTTCCAGTCCCTCAGCGTGTCGGTGTTGTCGGCGCCCGCAATGAGATACGTCTCCTGGGAACGTGTCCAGTCAGGGGTGTGAGCGGAGAGGGGAGAGTTGGCTGACGGCACGATCCATGGCGCAGAGGGTATCGCGTTGGTGATTTGGAAGGTCGCCAGAGGGTCCTTGCGGTTGTTGAACTCCTGTAGCTTGAGGAAAGACGCCGAGAAGGACGGCGAAATGTCGTCGAGGAGCCCGAGAAGGGAGTGGTTGGAAGCGGCCTTGGGTGCTGGGCGAGGGAAAGGATCGAACTTGGCATTGGAAGACTTGTTGATGAAGAAACCCCCGACGTGGGCTGTGATCTGATGTTGCTCACCCTCGTTAGTAGTAGCAAGCAGGTACAAAAGGTGTCCCTTTTGCTTCAGGTGGGGAGGAGGCGGATTCCACGGTGAAAGAGTTATGGTCTTGACCGTCTTGGGCGCCTCTTCCTCCTCGACAGGAGGCAGCAAAGTCGAAATGGGAACCGGGGTCCCAAAGCTATAGTCCTCCTTTGTCTCCTTGGCAGCCTCTGTCTGCTCTCCGTTGGTCTGTTCTTCGGATGGCGGCAGGACACTGTCAAGCAGAGAAAGACCGGGAAGAATACCCTGGACGGCGTCGGTGCGGTCTCCGGCGGCACCAATAAGCTCTCTGATTCTCACGAGGTGTATACGGGCCTCCTTCTCGGTGTATGGGTCTTCAACCAATGTGACCTCAGGGCTCTCGACCAGGCCTTCGATCTCGGATATCGGGAGGAAGTCATTGATACGTTGGCCGTGGTGCTCGAGGTGGAAGCAAGTGTACTGGAACGCCACAGGGAGGTCGATGATGGACTGTCGAACTTCGTGAACCTGCTCTTGTGGGGACACCTGCATAGAACTGGTCAGTGGACGTATTCGCGAGTGGACTAAGCACAGCTAACCGTGATTTGCATCTGACGGGGCTCTTTGGGAAGCTTGATCGTAAGGGTGACCAAGGCTATTATGCATCAGCATTAGATATCCCAATTCCATGGAAGCTTGCATTACTCACCGTCTAGGCCCTGCTCGATCTCGCCCTCAGCCTGGAGTTCGGTCTCCGCCTCAACGGGGGGCGCTAGCTCCTTCTCGGCATTTTCTGAAAAGACTCAACGTTTAGCTTGGAACTGTTCCAGTGTTGCAATGCGTATATTGGTTTTGCTCGTGGGTATTTTGTACCTTTGCCTTTGGGTTGGTCGGATGGGGACATTGGTACTCGATTTAAGCGAAAAACCAACGGGGAACTGGAGTTTTGATTCCCGATATAGTCTTGACGGAGAAGAGAATCCTGGGAGGGGATAGATATGTAATCGAAGCTTCGAAGCGGAGAGGGTTGGGAAGAATTGAGCAATCGCACAAATCAATGCAGATACGCAATTAATATAGGGTAGAACGGTGTAAGTAGCGGTCTGTGGAATATGGATGCGCAGCTCCGAAGTGACGGGTGGCAGAAGGGAATAATCGGCCTGAGAGAGAGAATATGAGGGTTCCAACTCAATGGCCAGTTGCGGATCGAAAGGGGGGTGGTAGAGGAAAGGTGAGAGGGTAGAGTGCCTTTTGGGAACGATCGGGGAAAAAAATTCACGGCAGAAAAAAAGTCGCGTTGTCATTCATCAATTGACGGCAATGCACCGGCCCGGCAAAGCTGGAGCTGTCGGTTTTTTCGGGCCCACTCCGCTTGGGGGAGCTCTGTCAGTCGTCGTCGGTTCTCCCTAAGCTGCCCCGGAAGGTAACGAGCCCTGACAGAGCCTCCCGTAGCGAGGTCCCGGTCCTCACTAAAAGTCACCACCAAATAGTAAGGTGAGGTACGGATCTTTCTGCGCCTCCTATCCCTGTCAAGAGCCATATACTCTATAATGCTTATCCAAGTGTAACATACTCACAGCATCTATCTGTATTGATTACTACACACTTTTGAAGATATATGTCGAGATCTCAGTTTCTATGATTACCTTCACCGGGCATGGTGGGGACGACCAGAATTACAAGATGCTTCCCTTCAGCCGTTTTTACGTAAGGCACTCTGGGGCTCCAGGTTTCTCAAGCTGGGGTGGGTCAGACACGTGACCATTCTATTAGCGCTGCACTACGCAATTTTATCCCTTTTGGCGACTACACTTAGATACCCTTGTCAATGTACACACCATACCCGATTAGGGAGTTTGTAAACATTCTTTGTGATGGGAAATATCCCATCCCGGCTTCACTCACCACCCTGCTCAGTATGCCTTAAGCTGAGTCCCCGACTTCAGCACACTGCACACTTATTCAATTTTGCTTGACTCCGTGGCTATCTTTACTTCGCACTCACATTATTGAGCTTTCAAGCATTTGCTTACCACTCGGCTTCCTCTTATACTACTCATTGAGTGGCTTCAGTCTTGGGTAAGGTAGTCTCCGTCACCAATTGACATCGACACTGGTCAAGCAACGCAGCAGAGTCGATTCGCTGTCCACCAACAACATAAATCAACAATATCTTATACGCCATAACATCTCTTGTCCAATATTTCAAAACCACCACTATCGACTACAGAGTATTGGGCTTGGCGCAAGTGGGGGGACTGGTGAAGAGAGATGGCGAGGGCTAGCGACGAGACTCGGAGAGGCGAGAACCGGGCAGAAAGAGATGGTGCCCGACCTCCCAGTCACTCAGGTCTATCTTGGACTTCTTCGAGATGTCGAAGACTCTTACGTCCTCTTCAGTCGCGGATTGCTTTACTGCGGAAGATCGTGATAGCTGAGAAAGCTGCTTGCGGACAACAGAGTGAACCTGGGGATAAAGCCCTCAACAATGCGCTGGATCGCCAAACGGCCAAAAACCCGAAACTGGTGGACGATTCGAACCCTTCCAGGACGCAGCGACAGCGCCCGCGCCGTACATATTCCAGGAAGTTGGCTGACTTCTTGGAAGACGACAACAACATGTCATCAAAGCCTACCATCCCATCCAAGAGCCATCTTCGTCAGAGACCGAAACCTTCTTCTTCAGGAATGCCTAGCGTCTCAACACCAATTCTTCGCAAAGTCAGACGCCATATCACAACATCACCGAGTATGGGTCTAGCAGAGTGCCTGGAGACAGAAAGCAGTTGTATGCGCCCCAAGACTGCGAGGCGTGGGCCTCTGGATAGTTCCATGTCCAAGTTAACGCGCCTCAGAGGCACATTATCGCCGGGGAGGTATCAGCTTTACGAGGGTATACTACATGACCTGGACACTCTGCTACGCTCGACAATACTCAACCATCCTACCATCGGCAAGAAGTCGTTGTTATCGATGTGTCTCAACAGAGTGCCTCAGTGCGCGACGGAGATTGAGAACTGGGAGAAGTCCCAGACCGCGAATAACGGCCCGGTTTCCTCAATCAAGCGGATGGCCTATTCTTTACGAGTATACGATGAGCTACAGACCCTTGGAGGCACCGACAATGGCTGGAGTCATCTGCGCACACTTCTTCGGGCACATGCTGTCCATCTTCTGAAAGGAGTCATTGGGGAAGGTCTGCTAGATGTCTCATTTGTTCGCATCTTGATCGACCATTGCAAGGCTATGGAATTCCTCCATGAAACAGCAGACCTCACGGACGCGTTGCTTTGCTTCCTCTACAGCGAACCCCCAGAACCAAGAGAGACATCCAAAGTGAACAGGCAAAGCCAGCTACCAGCCTATTTGTTAGACCTTGCAGACGATCCGATTGTGGAATCTCACTTGCTCGAAATATTTCCATTATTGTTGCTTCATAAACGGTTCCCCGTCGACATGGTCTCAGGGAGAGGCTTTGGGGGTTTATGGAGTATAGCAGCTTCCGCAGTACTCGAAAATAGAGCACGCCCTTCTGCAACCGAGTTTGCATCCACCGGACTTGCAATACTGTGTATGAACGCCTACCCAAGACGTCAAAGGCGTTCCTCGGGGCTCACGACGGAATCAAAATCTGCCAAGCTCACTTTGATGAGTGTACTTGGTGCATTGTCAGCCATGGCTATGATTTCGCAGGACTTTGGAAGTACTGCACCCAGTATCAGTGCGAGTCACAGAAGTCGAACCCAGAGGGTAGTAGTTCACATCCTTCATCAAGCACTGCGACTGGTGAGAAGTCGCGTCGGTAGTAAGGAAGCCGCATATCCCCTTTTACTGGCATTGTTCCTATCATCATCCCCCAAAGCGGCGCATGATGCCACGCGGGTCAGACTGAAGGCGGCGATCGACGGCTTCGGACACGCTCTGAGCATGGGAAGAGCCTCAAACACGGGCAACAACGACAGCCAGCTTCTCGATACCACGGTCGACATCACCTGCTCGATTGCTCACTGTTGTGGCAGAGCCACCGGCCAGCCATCCAACTCGTACTTTGCCAAACTCTGCGAACTCATCGATACGCTTGATGAGCCAGGTTTTGCATGCTTGAGAAGCAATGGTGCCTTTGTTCTGGCCCAAAAGACGGACGACTTACGCGATCTGGTATTTGCAGAGACGTTGAAGGAAGACCTGGCCGAGAAAGACGGCATGGTCGTAGCCAATGGCAACTTTTCAGGGTTTCGGTGGGAAGAAGGCATCAGCGAATGGATTGCAACCAGCCCATTGGCAAGAAGGCAAGAACACTTCACTCGAGGAGCTCTACCTAGGCGCCGAAGCGGAAGACATAGCAATGGCAAAGACGACGTCCGGGTTCTCGCGGATCGATCGGAGCCGGATCCGACGACGGAAGGAGCCGACAAAACCGGACCTCTAATAACAGCAAGCCCCGGACCGACGGGTGAGTCAATTGGTGACCAAGTGGGCCGGCGACTGGCGGGGAAAAGGAAGAGAGCAAAGAGCGAGGATCATGGCAGCCGCAAGAGAGACTCGGGCGCTGGAATCGATGGAATTGACGGACTTGACGAGCTTGGCATGGGCCCAGAGAACTGGCCACGAGTTCTGGGCAAGTCCCGATTGGGAAGCCATGTTGCAGGAGCCATGAAACGGGACGGGTGCCGGCGGGCTATCCGGAGCAGCGAGACATGGTCTCGCAAGGTTTTGGCGGACTTGGGCGTGCAGGCCACCCTTAATGACTGCGGTTTCAACGACGAGGATGAGCTGGGAATTTAATGACGACTGCGGCATGTAGATTGGATTGGCCATGTCAGTCCAGCCCATTGGGCATGGATATGTCAGTAGATTTTTTTGTGCGAGTCAACAGGATGCAAAATAGCCATCAGCTGCGTTTCAGATCCTTGCCAATGTGTGGAGGTACGACTGGGAACATGGCATAGGGTTGTCGCCAATGTGGACCTCACCGTTCTTTTTCTTCTGTCGCCTTCGTCTCCAATCAATCGTCTCTTGAGTTGCTTATCCGACGTTCTCGTAATGGTGCGGCAGGCCCGTGGCAGCGTGAGCAAGACATCTTGACTTTCCAGAGTGATTGGCTGTAGACGCATCTGTATAAGCCCTTTGAGACGGAGGACTTCTGACTCGGGACTCCAGGAGCTGGCAGGTAGTACAGAAGCAGTCACAGTGAGATCTGAAGGTGAGGTCCAACGGCGACTGACGGAAGAACGTTTGTCGAAATCGGACGGTTTGGGTTGTTCACAACTTCAGACAAAGTACCTGTAGCAGACGTGATGCGCTTCCTGTCAGGGCGATATGTTTTGGTTATGCGCTGGCATCACGGCGAATAAACGGGCCATTTGAGCAATTGATGACCATCAGAAACACCAGGAAACGGCCGTAGATCATTGAGGCCAACGGCGGGCACTGGGGCCCATTCAGTGGATCATGATAACCTTGCTGGAGGCTTTGAATAGGGCAGTATTCTGTACCGCGTGAGTTACTGAAATGCGTACTAGATAACCAACCGTACAAGCATGCTGTCAATGACATTGTGTCGCGTGCTCGTACAAAAATTGCAGGGACCTACGGGCCTGCTTGGTCCCTCTAGCGGTTTCCCGGGAACCTAGCATGAGAGCTTGAGATAGCTTGTTCAGTCTTTGAGTAGTAGATGATAGATGGCGGTTAGGAGACCTCAAAGCTGAGGCATGGCAAGCTGATGGTATGCTCACTCTCAGGGATACAGAGCGAGAGCCTGCAAAGGGAGGCAGCGATTTACTAGGCCACAATTCGAGACAGGAGACTCATACGACTCTGCACTTGATGATTCGCAACATATTACGCACACCACAGCTCGCATGCTTCGTTGTGACGATGGCATGAAACTTCCATGTTTTCTCGATGGTGAGCACGTTTGGAACCAGGGATCGGTCGTGATAAGGCGGCAAGAAGGATGGGTGGGCAGACGACCTGTTCGCCAGTGTTGCGTTGATAGAATGGACTTGTTCAGATCTCTAGAGTCTATCACCGCACTCGTCTCAGAATGCGATCCAATGACGACGGCGGCATGGCCGTGACAAACGGCGATATGTATTCGCAGACCGACCGACTGAGGCTGGGGCGTTTCTTCTTTCGCTGTGTCGTCTGAGTCAAGGCCCGCGCGGGCGAGGACCGAGGAGGTGACTTATCCCATGTTCATCGATCATGCAAAATTCAGAGATTTTACCCGACTGAAACGCCGTCATCCCAAGAGCCTATGGCGAGAGGACTCTGGCGTATCGTGTCTACGCGCATTGCCAGGGGTGCACACCAGCAGAGAGATTATGGCAAACACTTATTGTCGCCGGTCAGATTCCGAGCAGTGTCACACTAGAAACCGACCTGGCGGCTGGAGTTAAGCAGCGAGACCTTTTCGCTCTCTGCGGCTCAATGTCGATATTTTGGCAGCCCAGCAGCGCGCATTCGACTTACAAAGAACGATTGACGGCGGCAGGTTTCGTTGTGTAGCTAACCTAGGTACGTTCCTTTAAATTTCCCCGGGATTCGTGGGCACTGAAACCTCGGAGCTGAGTCTGACGGTAGACTAGGTAGGCAGAAAAGCAAGAAAGAGAAACAAGAGATAAAAAGAAACCTCGGAGACCCGTAAGACACAGGACGTATTCTCTATTGCGGTTGAAATTTCGCGTCGATAGCATCGCCACATGCGGCCAGCAATTCAGGTGGCGATGATCCGAAGTTCGCTCACTTAAACAGTAAGCAAACACGAAAAGGTTACCGTAGTAAAACCGATACGATGTGTACAGAACGACATCTAGCATGGACTGTCTTGGCAGAGGAAAACATCTTTAGCGGAATACGGGCGAGATAAGTTGACAACGACATGGCGGGCGGGGGATCTGTGTGACTCCAGATGACGATATCATGCAGTGGTTCGGACAGCAATTGAGACCGATCGCGGTTTGTTCTCATTGTTTGCTCGCATCTCGCATCAGCCCCAAAGCTACGCCGCCACGCCGCTCCTTCGGGAGAATGCTGCGTCGTGCAATGCCCTGGTTCTCGTTGGCTTCCGCCGTGCATCAACCCCCACTCTCCCGCGGTGTGCCAGACCACATCCCCGACACGGTTTGTCGCAGAGGGACAAGTATAACCGAATAGATCGGGTCGGGTTGCTTCAGGCAGGCGTAAAGTGGGCGGCGAGTCGCTCGTTCTGGCTGTTTTAGTCGAATGTGACGATGTTGTGCAGTGATCTGGCGCCTGGTTCAGTGTCAGAAGACCGGACGAAGAGCGCAAAGACAGTGGGCAACGACGATACGGATGAGACGCGGACCCGATCGACGGGGAATTCGGTAACTCCTTGTGTAGTGGTGTGGGAGCGTTTCCTGGATGTGTCCTTGATGCGGTCTCTAAGATTGGATCAAGCCCTCAGTCTCGGAGCCATGGAGATATTCTACTGCAAGGTGGTTGCGGGCCTCCACCGGTGCTTCCTTGGTGTGACAAGACCGAGACGCACAGGTACCAGCTCCTGCATCTTCCCATTTCGAAGTGCGCAATTGGATGCATGTCGTAATAACAGATTGGCTGTTCGGAGATCAAGGCTGGTAGCGCCAAGTCAGAAGTTTGCAGTATTGGTGGGATGATGGGGAAAAAATGGGTAGGGCGTCGGTTGTTTACGCAGTAAGGTATTCGTAGCCGGCCGGTTGACCAAACTAGCAGTCCAGCACGGCTAGGTAGCCCCGTGAGCAACCCCACCAGATCCCTGCCCTACTTGGCTTAACGTAGCCTTGGTCTTGAGAGCGGCTTGTTTCAGAGGCTTTCTGGAAAAGTGGACCACCAAGTTGTTTTTTCTTTCCTCTTCCCAAGTTCCTTCTCTCGCTGCCAGCCTGCCACTGAACAGAACGTCCTGTCGGTACAGTTAGCCGTGTCAGACCGAGTAAGTAAGGTCCAGGAACACTCGCAAAGGCCATCGATGTCTAGATGGAAGCCGCGAGGACAGACAAGAGTCACAAGACTACCATTGTTGCCCCTGCCTCTGCATCGTCTAGAGAGTCAAGGTCTAAGAAAAGACACACCGGCTACGGATACATCGTATAAGAGAGGCAGTCCTGAAATCGTCCCCTGAATGGGTGCGCCATAAGGTTTCCCCTCTTCGGATACCCTTCCTTTTGGGTGCCGTGTCTTACAGCAGAAGTGCATATTTGTTACTTGGCACACAACCTTAGCCATGTGTTCCGTTGCATGGCTGCTGGCACTATGAATAACGGCGAGTTGGCGACACCACTGTTAAATGAGCCTTGACCCGGTGTGTGTGCGGTGTGGTAACTGGGACGTCGTTGATGGCGTTAGGTTGTGTGAAGTGTAAAGTGCTGGCCCCTGACTATCCGCCCAGCATTGGCCCTTCCACGACACCAGCTCACCATCTGCAAGGTACGAATCAATCCCACAGCCAATCAGCTTCACAACCGCCAGGCTTAGCCAGCATTAGGTGCCATCGAAGCCATGTAAGACACGCATCATAGGTATGGAAGAGTCAAGAGACCGACAGAGTTATGTTGGAGACAGATAAGGGCCGGAAAGACCACACGCAGCCATGGCATCGTAGAGGCCAAAAGGGGTAGTGAGGCCCTTGCCTTGCGTCAGCGTGCCTTGTCAAGTTGTCGTCGTCTCCCTTCGAAAATGGAAATGGAAAGTTGGAAAGTGAGGTGAGACTTGAAAAATAGTACGTACATCCGAATACGTGCCTTTCGGGCGACAACCTTGAACCTGGAACCCCACCACTTGCGCATGCGAGCCCCTGCGTCGTGGCTCCCTGATCTGCTGCGGCCAGTACGTACCTTTAATCATGGCAACGCCTCGCCTCGTCTATCCCTGCCGCCTGTCGTCCTCTTTTTCTCACCTCAATGTCGTTCCGTACCTGTCAGCGGCCCTTGCTGCTCTGTTAGGTTCTTTGCCTCTTCTATGGCCCTTCCTCTTATTACTAAGGAATCCGATCTCTCAGCTGCTGCGGTCACACACACACCACGCACACCCACGCGCGCGGCGCGCACACACTCTCTCCTCCCCTTCAACTGCCGTACCAATGCCGTGTACGATATGGAAGTCCAACTCCCTTGCCGAGACCACCCCTGTTTGCCTGTCAACATGCACCCTACAATCGCACAGTCATGCCCTGCCCTGCATGTCCCGAGGGCCGCGCCTCGTCTCGACTTGACTTGGCCAGAATCTTGCGTAATATCATGTGTTCTCTGTTTCCAGGTTGACAGCGCCCACTGTGAATGTATCCGTACTCCAGTGCCATCGGGTGGAATATCCGTAACTGATACCCTGCTCTCGCCTCTTATGACATGTACTTCGTACCCTAGGAGAACTGTGGATGTGGTGCCTCGGAGCGACTGGGAAGCGCTTCCTCTCTGTCTATCTGGGGACATCCACATTTGCGGAGAGAGCAGCCCCTCCTTGTCTTGTGGAAAACGGTGTTTTAGTCTCCATCAACTGGGCCGTATCAGTTCATACACCTCCACCCACACCCTCTCGGGTGACGGCCCACACGGTGCAGCCCTCCCAGAGAGGATCCAGGAACGCACCATCTTGGGGCCCGGGGTCGACTAATTCCTAGTCGGACTCCCCTTTGCCTTGCGCAGGTCCAGTCCAGTCATTCCCGTCCTGTTAGTTACCCAGACCAAGGTACGAAATACCTACCTACCTCAGTGGTGTGTTTGGTACTTACATCACTGATATCTCTCGCCTCTTATTCCTCACAATTTCTGCTCTCTCTCCCCTCTCTTTCCTTCCTTCTACTCCACGGCCATTTGTTCCCTTCTCGTCCTTCCCTTTCACAAACTCCCTCGTCCTACCAGACTTGGGCTGTCAGCTGACGTCTCTGACCCAAAGACGTCCAAATTCTCTTTCCACTGACGCCAGTTCCGTTTCTGCATTGACTGCACTTTTTGACGCTTCTTTCCACCGGCCCACCCCTTTTGGAAGTACCCATCGTGCCGGCTTCGAAATATCTTCCAAAAGACGGGAAATAATAACGAAAACTCAAAACAAATAAACACATACGACTTAGTGTCTGATCGACTGCATCGACCAAATCTCCTTGTAGGCGATTTACTCTCGATAACGCGCAAACGTGCCACGTTCTCTTTCGACTCCCGGTAAACTTGCTGTGCAACTTGGGGGATATTGGAAGTAGGACAACCAATCACGACGACAGGTCAACAAAACCACACACTCTCTCTTTACCTTCCGGTCTAAGCCTCTCACATCTTCGAACTAAACCTTCGCCATGGCCGCTGGAGGCGCAAAGCAGTCTCCCGAGGAGCAACAGGCGGCTATCGATGCCGCCAACGAGAATGTCTCCCTCTCCAACTATCTGTACTACATCTGCGCTGCCATTGCCGCAGCCGTCATCATTTGGAGAGTATGGACCGTCATCGTCAGATATGTTCGTACCGTCGCCTGTCTCAACAACGACAACCAGCGGTACTTTGCCCAGTCGGACTCCAAGGTCTCCTGGATGAAGAAGAACATCCTCTACGCTCCGGTTATGAGCAAACGTCACAACCGCGAAATTCAGCTCAGCGCTGCTATCAACGTTGGCACCCTGCCCAGCCGACTCCAGCTGCTATTTCTGACCGGTTACTTCGCCACGAACATCGCTTTCTGTGTGATTAACATCCCGTTCGCCGGCTCTTTTGCCGCAGCCGCCTCGCAGCTTAGAAACCGTACTGGTACCTTGGCTGTTGTGAATATGGTGAGTCGCATCCACCTTCTCTTAGAGATCGAGTCTCAGACACCAGGGAAACTTGTGCTCGTCAAACTTGAGACAACACTCATTCAATGACGCTAACCGGGATGCAGATTCCCTTGTTCCTGATGGGTGGCCGAAACAACCCTTTGATTCCCATGCTCGGCATGTCCTTCGACACTTTCAACTTGCTGCATCGTTGGTTCGGTCGTATTGTCGTTCTGGAAGCTCTTGCGCACACCCTGGCTTGGATGGCCAACACCGCCAACAAGAGCAGCTGGCAAACCGCCATCACCTCAGCAACGACCGTTCCCTTCTTGCTCTTCGGTTTTGTTGTAAGTGGAAAAAAGGCCCCAAGTAAAACGAGATAAAAACACTGAGGCTAACCTCGATGAAAGGCTACATGCGCCTTCGCGTCCATCTTAATCCAGGCTTCTAGCCCGATCAGACACGCCTTCTACGAGACGTTCAAGCTCCTTCACATTTTGCTTGCCATCACGGCTGTCGTTGGTACCTGGTACCATTTACAGATGAAGGCTCTGCCCCAGCTCAAGTATATGTGGCCCGTAATCATCTTCTGGGCCGGTGACCGCGTCTGGCGTGCCTGGAGGGTATTTTACGGCAACGTCGGGCACGGAGGCAGCAAGGCTCTTGTTGAAGCTCTTCCCGGCAACGCATGCCGTGTTACGGTCACGATGGCTCGACCCTGGACCTTTGGGCCTGGCCAGCATGCCTACATGTACATGCCATCCCTCAGCTTGTTGCAGTCTCATCCCTTTTCCGTCGCTTGGAGTGAGGAGGCTGAGGATCCTATGGCCGAGAAGGGTTCTCTTAACCGTCAAGACATTCTCGCCTTGCGCAAGACTACCATGTCCTTCATCATTCGCGCCCGCACCGGAATGACCGACACACTGTATCGCAAGGCCGCTGCTTGTCCCGAGGGCAAGATGACTACGACATGCATGGTAGAGGGACCCTATGGTGGACTGCACAGCATGCGCTCTTATGGTACCGTCATGCTATTTGCTGGTGGCGTTGGCATTACTCATCAAGTACCTCACGTCCGCGATCTCGTCGCCGGCTATGCGAACGGAACTGTCGCCGCGAGAAAGGTTATTCTCATCTGGACCATCCAGAGCCCCGAGCATCTTGAGTGGATTCGACCTTGGATGACGGAGATCCTGGCGATGGAGAAACGCAGAGATATTCTCCGTATCATGCTCTTCGTCAGTCGGCCAAGATCGACCAAGGAGATTCACAGCCCTTCGTCTACTGTCCAAATGTTCCCTGGCCGCCCCAACATCGAGACGCTCATCAAGGCTGAGCAGGAGTCGCAGGTTGGCACCATGGGCATCAGTGTCTGCGGTCCTGGCGCTCTTAGCGACGAGGTGCGCCGCGCCGTTCGCGATCGGCAGCACGACTCGGCCATTGACTTCAACGAGGAGGCTTTCTCGTGGTAAGACGGACAGAACATGGTCTCATAATTGCAGCAGGGACACAATGAAGCTTCAAGCGCGTTTGCGCAAGAAGAGGTCCACATGATGCGAAGCCACATCGATTAAGACACGAGTAAAGGGTGAATTATTCGGATGAGGTTACCGCACCTACGTATCTATCTTAGGATCGAGGCACAACGGGTTAGTTCAATGTACATATAGGGGATCGATTTAGACCGTAGTTCTATGTATATGTGATATCACACAGTTCATGCATCTAAAAGATATAGAGGAGAAACCCGAGCGAGGTACGTCACTACCTCCAGATAGGTACCGTATGCAATGAATGGCCTTACCTTGCTTGCCTTACCTAAGGTATCATCGGAATGTCACCAGTGCACTCCAAGTGTCAGGTCCCCTGTCGACCATCCCGGCTCGTTCACCGACCCCTCCTTCTCCCGTTACCTTCTGTCAGCTAAACCAGCCCCCGTCCTCCGCATTCTTTGGTGGCCAGGTCTTTGAATCTGCATCCTGACGGCCTAAGACGAAAACTGCGAGATAGCTAACAGGTCTCTGAGCTGAACTGAAGACACTGTCGAACCGTGACCCAACCCGGCCCCCAGTGCTTCCCTCCGAGGTCCAGCTTAGCTCGGTCCCCATTCCAAGAAACTCGAACGTTGCTGACATCCGTCACACATCGGACTGGTGATTTCAGGAGGGTCCACGGCGCGCGCGCTTCAGCGGGCTATCTTATCTCTACCTCACCTGCTCACCTGAGCGTTCGCCGCATCCATCCGGCCTGGCACATGTTATCCCCCCCTCCCGTTTCCCGTCTCCCGCACACCCGCCTGCCTGACTACGTCCCTTTCCAAACTTCAAGACACCTGACACGTCAACCCGAAAAACCCTCCCACTCCCCTTCACGTCATCCTCACCCTACCCTTCTGTCGAGTGCTACGAGGAGAAAGCCATCTTTCTTTATTGCGACTTTGCAAGAGCTCTATCGACGACAGGACGAACTACAAAGCTGCCTGCCGCTCCCGCGTGGCAAGGCCTCACGATCAGTCAGATACAACTGTTCCGTCTCCCGCCGTATCCTGCCTACGTAGAAGTAGGCTTTGGACACGATGGGTTTGGCGTACAACACGTACTTGAACAGCAACAAGGTCTACGGCTGCAAAACATGCAAGGCGCATCTGTCGAACCATGAAGACATCATAAGCCGGGTACGTTAGGACATTCGATTCCCTCCTCCCGCTGCTGCTGCACAACGTCAAATGCTCCAGCAAGCTTTGGACCGTTTGCAAGCAGACATTATGTCCACGTCCTCGTGCTGACGGGTGTGTCGCCAACAGAACTTCCGAGGCCAGCATGGCAAAGCCTACCTATTCAACAGCGTCGTCAACATCGAGACGGGCGAGCCGAGCGAACGAAACATGACGACCGGACGACATATCGTACGTGATATCACCTGTAAGCAGTGCAAGGATGTCGTTGGCTGGAAGTATGATAAAGCGTACGAGGCTACGGAGAAGTACAAGGAGGGCAAATTCATACTCGAGGCTGAGCTTCTCTGCAACGTCACCTAGATCTTTCGCGTGACAAGCAAAGCTTCCCTGCCTGGCGGGAAAGGGTACGATCTTGGGAATATGGCGTTTGAGTTTCAGTTCGTCGGGTTTCTTTTTTGGGGGGCAAAGGCATCATGATGCCTTGCATACAGGCGGCGTTTCTTGGTGTATAGGACGGTTTTCGTTTGGGGTCGATCGCAGCGCCTGACCAGGCGATCGGGTTTCATCTGACTACGTGAGAGTGGCATATACCTGTCAGTCCACTGTCAGCTGATCCCTCAATTCTGTCAGCATTCACACCTACCGCTCAGCCAAGAAGTTAGGAAATCTTTGTAGGGCTACTGGGAAACATTGCATCGGGTTTCCTTATTCGGTCTTAGTTGGAGCACAATAGAGACGATGTGTGTAATGCAACCGAGCCATGTCTTTGAGTAACCAATTCTCGTACGCCTAAAATACAGCCGCTTCCGTATCCCTAATCTAATTCAAGCTACAACACAGAACATAAACTCCTAATACAACATGGAGCCATTCGCAGCCCCGCTGAGCATAACACACCATGCGCCCCCCTCTTTACTGGTGTTCGATGGGCTCCTCCGGAAGAAGCTCCTCCACCTCTTCATCAGGGACAAGGAATTGGAAGGGGGGTTGCACGATTCCGTTGAAGAGGAAGGTAAAGTAGACAAGCAGGCCAAATCCAACAACCTGCAGCCACTTGAAGGTCTCCCAGCGCAGTCCGAGGGAGACAATCCAGATAAATAGAGTCCTGCACGTGTCAATGGTAGATCGCGAGGTAGCGCTGACGCTTCTGGTGACGGAGAGACCGAAGAAGTTAAAGCCACTGCATCCAAGCACATTAGTAAGACGCCTGCTTGTCAGGTCAATATGGATAAACGTACCCGATGCTGATCATGATCAGGATGCTGGAGATTCCAATGGCTCTGTTGTGGGTGAGTTGCCTCCAGCCTTCAACCATGTCAAAGTATCCGTAGCGTCCAGCGTCGGTTTGGCCAATAGCTAGGTGCAAGACAATCATGCCAATGACAGTGACAGTGAAGCCGAAAAGACCTTCGAACCCAACAACACGGATAGGTTCGATGGATGACCTTTCCAGGATCCATTCTTCCAAAACAAACTGTGTCGCGGTGAAGATCTGCGCGCCAGCAATGAGAAGAACACCCACAACAGTCAACAAGGCATTAGACTCGGGAGAGCCTTCCTCGACGTCAGCCTCGTTTGTGTTCTCATGGTAGATGGCACCAGCCAAGCCGACAATTGCGACGCCCGTGACAACACCGACGAGAGACATCCACTGGAACAAAAAGAGTCTACGCTTGAGGAATATGACGCTGAATACTCCGACGAAAAGAACGAGGGCGCCGCGAGTCATTTGGTAGATGGAGGCCGCAACCAACAAAAGACCAATGTTCATCAGCGTTGTGCCGAGAATGTCGCAGATGGCTGGAAGCGCCAACAGCAAGATGCGAGGCCCGCGCAGAATAGCACCACCTTCCTCTTCTTGGGGCTTCGGGTGTCCATCCACGCTGCCAACAAGAGGAGCACCTGCATCATCGGTATCATTCGTGTTAACCGCCTCGTAGCCGTTAGACGAGGGGTCGGCTCCGGGTCCGTAGCGACGATACAGGTTCATCAAACCGATGACCAGCCAACAACCCATCTCTCCAACAAACATCTGTGCCGTCTGGAGGACGGGCTGGTTGAAGTAGGCCCGTTTCGTAGGGTCCTTCGCATCGCAGTTGCGTACGCATTGCATGTCCTGGGGAAGAAGCCGAGTTAGCGTCTAGATTCTAGGAGCCAAGGAGTTCCAACGTACCTGATACTTTGTGAGGAGGGTATTGCAGACGCCTGTTAACAGCATCATGCCGACAAGAAGGGGGATAAGGGCCCGGGAAGCCATGTTGAGTGAGCTGTCGGACTTGACCGGCGTGACGACTACGGGAGGGTAGAGTTGTAAGAGGAGAGATGATGAAGGACCAAACGTATCCTATCCAGTGCCCTCTAATTGCGATATTGAATGAGCCTACTGCGAGGAAAAGCGCTGAAGGAAGAGGCTGGAGGAAGAGGGGTTGTTCTTTGGTCAACGGCCGGCGGCACAATCGTTCTCGACGGTCGGAATGGAGGTTGATGTATTCGTAGCGGCTGTAGTCGTCTCTGGACATGGCGGAGGTGTCGAGCTGGGCGATGGAACGAGCCGCTTATCAGTGGGTAAGGTGGGCGCCGGTGGTCGGGCTCGTACCTCGGGTACCTCCAGTGCTGCGCATAGGTGTCAGAGTACCTCAGCATCGCCAATGGCACATCCGCAACCCACCCTACTCCCTGAAATGGACGCCCGCGGCCCCGTGCCTATGCACCTTCTGACCTCCACTCCGCGTCCAGGTTGGGTAGGTAGGTACCTGAGGCTGATTAGTGTCCCGGAGCAAGTAACGCGTCCATGTGAGACTCTGACCAGCTAAGGTACGGTAAGGTACCTTAGCTACCCTCAATCTATGACCAACAACGTGGATATTCCTCTGGGTATCAAGAAGAATAGCCTCATGTCATTTTCTGCTATTGTGAAGAAGTCAGGAGTAGCCCAAGTCAGTTTGCAAAGGGCCAGCAACGCTCATCGAATCGGATTAGAATAGCAAAGCCTCCTTGCAAGCGACACACTTCAGGAGGGCATCACCGTCAATCATTCTCTTTTGCATAAGCCTTTCCGACATGAACCCTACAGGTTACACAATAATGTATAATTATCAGTGGCTCAAAATCATTAGCCGGAGTGTTGCAGCACCGCAGCGATTGCAGTTGTCATTGTCCGCGGACGAAGTTGTCATTGCGTAATGTATTACTCGTCGTGTATAGGTATCTCATCTGTAGCCCAAACCCACGTTCTCCCCTACTTCTCTTCCTTGGGCTTCTTGTCCTTGATGTTGTTGTAATGGTGGACCCCCATTTCCTTATCTTTTGACAGACGCTCCTCGTCTTCTTTGCTGAGCGGCACGCCTTCAATGCTCTTCACTTTCTTACCCTCAAAGAACATCATCAAGCCTCCTATGGCAGCCGCCAAACAGGCGAGCGCAACGAAGAGACCGGTGGACCAGCTGGGTCGATCGAATCTGTTCATTCCCCACATGAAGCCTGAGAGAACGCACTGCAAAAACGTGTTCCACACGTTGAACCAGATGACGAAGTCCATTTTCCAGATTGCCGTTGGGGGTGCTCGAACACCAGTGAGGGGCGCGTTTGGAATAGCTTTCTCGGGGTGCGGGATGTGCAACACTGGATGCTCGTTTGCCAGTTCAGTGACGTTCTCGGGGCCAATGTGGACTGGGAGTTGGTCAGAACCAGGCAGGCGGAACCATCCGCGATGAATGCCTGCAAGCCGGCCAAGAGCCTCAGGTTTCTTCAGGATGCGGTATTGCATCAAGAAGTACAAGTCGCGGAATCTCCATGGTGCCAATCCGAAACCTGTTACGCAGAACAGAGCGTTCAAAATCTGGGAATCCCATTCAATCCATTTGCGCCGGGGAGAGTTGATATCGTTGCATGTCGGATAGCACATGGCCGGGGATGCATTGCAAAGTAGCAGAAACAGCATTCCACCCCAGGCAACGACGTTCAAGCCGTAAAGAACGACGAAAAAGCCGAGGGGCGTGCATGTGTAGTTCCAGAATGCCTTTGCGCCAATCTTCATGGACTGCGATTTCGTGTGTGCGGGTGGGAAGTGGTAGCCGTTATCGTACGGTTCGTATAGTTCGTGCTCTGCGGTCGCCACGGTAGCGGAGGCGGCACTGGTTGGTATTCTTCCTTCGACATCTTGTTTCTTGTTCTCATCGGTATGATTGTTGTTGTCGGAAAACTTCGTCTCGGTTGTGGATTGATCAGAATTGGGGTGATCCAGCTGCGCGTTCCTTTCTTTCTCGCTGCCGGCCAGCGAAGAATCTGGGCGAGACATCGCGGCGGATTGCAGAAGCTTTCGTTGCCCTGTGACGTACAAGCCTCTGGGGCCTTCGGTCCCTCGAAATGTATTTCCTGCTGCTGAGCCGGAGGGGATAGCAAGGTTGTTCAGTATAGCCCGCTGTGTATTTGGTTGTAATTCGTAAAAATGGCACCCGTGTGGTTGACTGCGTAAGTAGTTTGAGTCGAATTCGGATTCGATTATCAGGTTCTGGCTTGGAAACTGGCTAGAACGATGGACAACAACTTCGATAAGGCGTCGAAAACAGAAAGATCCTGATCAAGGTATGTTTTGTCGAATAACGATGTATCGCCGGGTGTTGTTGAGGTGAGGTCAAATATTAGGCACTAACACAGCGACCAACGAGGTCGAGTAAGGTAGGTGGCAGAAGACTGCGTCCGGGAAGTAGCGACGAAGGACGGCGGGGGTAAAGTAATAAAGGGTATCTTCGAATGTCCGGCCTGGTAAATGGGAAAGCAGGTGGCGCTGCGTGGGAGTGAAAAAGTGATTCGGAGAATTCAATCAAAGAAATAAATCAAGGTACGGGGAGTGTCAAAGACGTGTTATGTGGGGGCCGATGTCGAAGAAAAGCAGGAGAAAAGGAAGAACAACAAGCCACAATGATGAGCCAGGGTCGGAGGATATAGCAAAGTGCCAAAGAGTTCTTGGGGGGAAAGAGACGGGCTGAGTCTAGACCTTTGGTAGTGGAAAGGGGCGGGACATGCGAAATGCGTAATAGAATTAGACGCTAAGCACCGACCTTGTGAAGGAACATTGGATTTCCATTGACGGACGGATTGGACTCTCCGTTTATGCCTGCCCTGCTGAGTGTGGTGGATTAGTGGTACGCCTGTGCACCCGAAGGGGGGCGGCCAAAGTACTCCGTCCAGGCATGACAGGCTCTCAGGCTGCTTCATTGTCAGTCTATCAGAGGCTAGAGTCCCGTTTACCTTCGGTTGTAGCCAATAGACACTGGTCCGCATGGAAACGCTGGTGTCCGGTTCAAGTGATCTGGGGGCAGGAACCACTAAACAGCCGTCGCAAATCTGGACCCTTACGTCAATACGCGTACGATGGACCAGGAATACACTTTGTTACTTTGCACGGCCACAGCCACTGCAGATTGTATGACCATACGCGCGCAGTGAGGTCACCGACACAGCCAAACAACCTGACATCAGGTACGTACTCATGACGGGATCCGAGAGGGATGTGCACGCACTTGCCCCAAACCTTGGGTGCTGGTTGGCTCGCATTTCGGTCGGTTACGTAGGCTGACCAGGATTATCAGAAGTTCTGTGGACCGTGGATGCCGATGAGCTGTGCTTTGCTCCAGTCGGCCTTGGACTCTTGTCTCAACTCTTAAGAGCATTTGAATTTGAGTTACCGGCCTGCCGGTGGACTTCAGAAATTCAAGCTCTGACATTATTGTATACATGACGATCACAACGTCTAGTTACTCCTGTTCAAGTGGCTGAGAGAAGTACGATATTTTCGCTCAGGAATACCGCAGAATGGACCAGTATTGCAATCATCGGCACCTGCCATTCCTTTTATGATTCAAGTGAGACAAGCCAACTGTGACGGTTAGAAGCCGTTGGTTGTTGTGTGCCTGGCTAAAGATCAGCTTGGCCTGGGAAGAGAAACGACATGAAGATTCACAAGCCTCAGAGCGGGGCTGGAGAATGGGAAACATAGGTGTGGCTTTGACAAGTCATGGATGTTATGCACACTTCGGATCGTTTTGAGACCTACTTATGACGATGACCGCATCCATCCGCTCGGCATAGAAGTTGCGCTGGGCTAGCAGCAGACGAGTGAACCTGTCAGAGCAACTCTTCTGGCTCGCTCCCGCCTGCATCCATAAGCTAGGCCAGGTGGTAGATTTGCCTTAGGTAGGTACGTGACATGATTGAGGTCCTGGTACGGATAATGGAATTGAATTTCCTGAGCTCGATTGTACATGAACATAGCGGGCGACTCGAAGGGCACCTCATCAGTACATACATAAATGCATCGAGTGCTATATATGCATTTATCGAGGACCTACCGAAGCGTCGGTCAAGGGGCACATCTGATTGGCATACCGGCATTCTTGTTGGAGCCACCTGCCTTGAGAACCTTGAGAACTCTTCAGTAATCATAACCACAATATCTTCCTGTGTGACTCTGGTCTTTCCAAACACTCATTGCGACCTAGAAACTTCATTTTCTCCAACACTTTGTCAAAGTTTCACAAACAACAACAATGGCAGCCGCAGAACATCTTACCAACCTTACCGCTCTGGTCCTTGGAAACCTCCGAGATCAGCATGACTGGACTAATGTTGAAGTTCGCAGTGACGGGAAAAGCCGATCGCGTCCCATCATCACCGGCCTCCCGCCCAATAGGCTGTACATGCATCCAGACGAACAAATTGAGGCTTTGGAGATGGACAGCAAGCGTTCGAGCCAGGCGCCCGAATATGAGTGGGTTCTCCCAGTGCATCTAAGCGAACAATGGACCCTGAGCTCTTTCGCTACAATTTTCGACTCCATCGACACTCTACCACGACCACTTGATCCAGCAAGCACCATCGATAGATCCAGAAAGCGGGATTGGCGTGGTGCAGACCGCCAAAAGAGGCTACTCCTTGCCGTGGTCCACGATGATTCGACCGTGTCTTACTACCTCATTCATGATGGTATTGTCAAGCCAAGACAGAATTAAGGCATTGATCCTATTTCTATCTCAACATTCCATCATCTCAACCGCAGACTCCATGTTTCTCCTGCTGTCTTGTTGAGTAGGGAGGCGACAGATTTTGTGGCTACGAGGGTTATGCTCCAAATCAAGGAGTGAAGATAACCTTCTGAACTTTCATCTGATCGAATAACGCATATCCTTCAACCGCCTCGCTCAATGGCATAATGCGGTCGAACATAAACCTAACCAACGTCAGTTCCGACAAGGAGAAGGATTGAGGGCGCGAATATTGTGCCCCAATGGCGTGGGAATCAACGTGGCCATGGGGTATGGTCAGCACTCACCCAAGCTTGTCCTGCTTCTTCTCCAGGAGGGCGAGAGCCTCGGGGAAAATAGCCCGGACAGGACATCGGCCCATCTGCAGCCGAAGGTTTTTGCTATGGAGGCAATCAGCACCATTCATGCCATCGATCCTCCGAATAGTTGTCAATATCACACTCACCCATACGCTTCGGTCCCGGTCCATGGAATCTGGTCATGTGTCAGCAAGACGAACCGCAGCCTCACGGTTTAGATCGATGCGAACCTCGCCATTATGGACGCCAATGCTAGCAATGACACCAAATGGTCTGGTGATGTCGAAGGCAGTTCTGAGGGCTGGGCTCAGACCGACAACCTCAATGACGACATCAGCTCCACGGCCATCAGTCACCTCCTTGATCCGCTTCTCCATGCCTGCACGATCAGTCATGAAGTTCAAGGGCTCTGCACCCAGACTTTTAGCAAGCTCTAGGCGACTGTCTACGCTGTCAATGGCAAAAAGATGCTTGGGACGGTACTCGAGGGCCGAAATGACGGCACAGAGACCGACGGGTCCGCATCCAATGACAACGGCGGTGGCATTTGATCTCTCTTCCTCCTTGAGCAAGTTGAAGCCAGACTTGGCACCGAAGAAGCCGGTGGGGAAAATATCGGCCATGAGAACCAGAGCATTGTCGGAGATGGTGGTTGGGGCCTTCATGGCGGTTCCGTCGGCATCAGGGATACGCACGTATTCGGCCTGGCCGCCATCCAGCTTACCGCAACCAAAGAGTTTGCTACGAACGCAACGGGATGTGTACCCGTTCTTGCAGTAGAAGCACTGCATGCTAGAGAACCATGTTGGGAAATTATTCGGCACAGGAGAGTGAAGAGAACCTACCATGACGAGGTGAAGGGAGAGACAACCCTGTCACCAATGTCCAAGGAGGTCACAGCAGCGCCCTTTTCGACAACTGTACCGGTGAACTCATGGCCCATGATGAAGCCTGTCTCAGATGGCTGGTGGCCCCGGAAGACATGCAGCTCTCTGGGAAGTGTGTGAGAAGGAAGGAACAGGAGCACTTTGGTCTTGGGAATGCCTTACGAGCCACATAGAGCCGTTGCCTGCACCTTGACGATTACGTCGCCATCGTCTTGGACTATGGAACTGGTCAGCGACAACTGAAGGTTGACATGGAGCTCATCAGGGGTTGGAAGTATGTGCAAACTGACTGGTAGGGATCGGGCGTTGCTCGACAGACACAGATTGCGGTCCGTTGAAGACAACGGCGCGCATGGTTCCTGAGGTAGACATTGCGGGGTTCGTTCGGGTGTATTTGGAACTGGCTCACGAAGCAGTAAAGGCGTTGACGGAGGTGCGAGAACTCCCAGATGAGAATGGTCCAAGGTCGCGGGCGGTTGTAGTATTCGAAGCAGAGGTAGTGAGGAGCAATAAGAAGCCGAGGCACGCAGCCAAAAAAAACACAATCGTATTGGTCCTTGGCGATGATGGATGATGTGGTGGTGAGGTGTGGTGAGGCACAGTTGGTATGCGGGCTGGGCCAATCACCTCGGCCCCGCTACCGCTGTCGTTCATCGGAGCATCACTGTGCGAGTGGACGTGTACACAGGGCGGGCAGTTGACGTGCACGAATAGAGACGAAGTGAAAAAGAGGAACAAAATCTGCCTTCCCCGTGCAATTACCTAAAGTAGTTTTGTATCGGAGCTATTCGCGCTTCACTAGACAAGACGTGCAAGTACGCGATGAAGGAAACGTCTTTTACGGCAGCGGTTGTTGTAGTGTACCTGGGGAATGGCGATGGAAGACCGGCATGGCATATTCTGGGTACGGTTCCGAATTAGAACTTGACTAGGAATCGGCAGATAGAAATGATAAGCGCGGATGGCAGGGTAGAGGTATGCAGGGTGGTGGTCTCTCTGCTCTTTACGGATATAATTCCTACGATATGTGGTTTAACCTTAACCTTTAACTTCATGCGTCGGATTGTTCTTTATCAAAGAGCGACAAGATGGAAGGCAGGCTTGACAAACTCGTCTGGGCGTTGAGTTGATGGCTGCGGCTCATGTTGATTGACTTGGCGGGCAATAAAAGCACGCTGCGTTAGAACTAAGTTGAACAGCCGCGGCTCCGAGTTTAAGTGCCCGGGACCGCAATGAGAGTAAAACACACAGGGGTATAATTCATGCCAGGAGAGGTCTCGAATCTGTTATCTGGGTTGGTGTCCAATGAGGCTTCCAACAAAGTCCTGATAGTTCACATGGCCCGATGGACCTACGAATATAACCCAAGTACAAAGTTGACAGACTATCTGACAGCTCACAACCTTGAAAAGGGCTGGAATGGTTGGGCGCCTTCTAGAAACCTACCTTGGCTTTCTGTCTACCCAGGTGTGTGTGAGTGTCTGTGGGTGGTGGCCCTACCACCCTGAGCTAGATCCCCCGCTCGTACGTGCCACCACCTCAGTCCAAAAACCGGGGACCACTTTGCTGAAGAACCCCCCTCGTCTGGGGTAAGACGGGTAAGGTAGGGGACAAAAGTCCCTCCTATCGCCGGTCGGGGAACTGAGAATGCCCTGGGCAGCCGCCGTCTTGGCGACAAAAGACAATATGATGGAGCCAGACAGTCAGTCTGGCCCTGTTCTCTTAGTGCTCAAGTCGAATTGTATCGTTTTCGTTGGTTTGTGGTGTGGTGATGGTATCCGTTGTGACTATAGATGGACAATCCCTCGAGTTACCTTTGAAGTACCCCGCGCTATGCTCCTTAGCTAAAGTAGGTTGGGAAAGGAAGGGAGGGAAAGAAATAACCTAGCCGAGGTTTTTGTTATCACACGCGACACCAGATGGAATTTTGGAACTATCAGTCCAGGGCCGGACTGTCGCCGTTTGCTGGTTGCAATTCTGGCATTGGTGATTAGCTCCCTATCCCGACTCCCTGATAGGCAATGAAAGCCTACCTTGGAAGTAAAGCACGAAGTATAGGTACTTTACTCCGCAAAGAAGAGAAGTAGCGAAAAGAAGGGTCCCCTTGCTTGACCGCCTTGAACCTGGCCAATTAAGCCACCGCAGCTAACTCGCTCTAGCCCGATTGCATGTATGGATGATTGAGGCTTAGAGGCTTAGCGGCTTGGACGCATGGATCAATCGCGGGCATTGGTGGCACGGCAGGGGGGGCTCTTTGCTGTCCTGTTGCACGATTGGACAGAAGGGGGGAATGGCGGGTACCGCCTAGATTGATGCAGCGAGTGGTAGGTCTTCCATGGAAGTTTGGGTGAGGGGTTAAAATGTTGGACTTGGAGAGGAGCACACTTCATCGAGTGTGGGGTAATAACGAACGATGCCATGAGGTATCCGTCCGAATAGCTGCGCACCAGCCCGGCATCTTGGTCTGCACCTGCCAATTTGCAGTAAGGTAGGCGCAAACGACACTCAAAGAGGGAGAGAAAAAACACGCATGCCTAGGGTTACCAGACAGAGTTCGAACCAGCAGACAAATGCAGTGATTACGGTAAGGTGCGAGCGAGGCTAAGGCGCGGGGTGGCTCGGCGGATGACTTGATGTTTTGGTCAATTGGAAGTGTTTGTTTACTTGGACACACACAAGAGAATATACACACACACACACACCACGTCCAAGCGCATTCTTCATCCAAATCTTTTCATTTCCGTTCGAAGTTCTTCATCATCTCAAGTAGAGGTTGAGTTTCCACAGCACTGCAACAAGGCAGTTTGGAAAGGCTCATTGACGGAAACATTGCCGGAGAGCGGAGTACCTATTGCAAAAGAAACGAATCTGGAAAGATGGGTGGTCGGGGGATCGTCAGGTATGGTGACTCGTGAAGTGATACAGAGTGTAAGAAGGTAGGGCTTCCAAGTTCCAGCTTGGGTCTGGCCCGCCGACGGCCAGTAAGTTGTCATGATCAGGGACATGGCCCCCATGCCTCGGATTGAGCCTCCACTTCCGTCCCGTTCGTCCATCCATTGCATTGGGTGCGGCTAATTGACACGCTTGAAAATGAAATACCTCCTGTTAGTGTACGGAGTACGAATACAAGTTGTTGCGAACTTGTGAGATACCATCGGTAGACCTCAAGGCTCAATGCTCAAAGTGCCTCCAGAGTACCTTACTCTATGCGAAAACTCCACTCCGCTCACAATGAGGTGTAGAATGCTCTGGTGCTGAACCTAGTGAACCTAATGTACCTCCCGTGTACCTTGGGGTAATCCCGGTCGTTGTCAGCCCTCATTTCCTCCACGATCCATCTTGTGCTCGTCCACCAGCCACCGGCTTTCTAGTATACCTTACACAATGGTGCCGTTTCCTTCCTTCTCGCCCTTGCGCATGATGCTGTTTTCCAGTGGATCATGGACTTGCGGTGCCGTCTTTCCGCGACTGTGCGTTGCTCAGAGCCAAGGATGAAGAAAGAAAAAAAAAGGACCGAGGACTGACTACCTGAGTGTCTTCCCAATTTCCCGAAGAAAAATAGAATGATGCTGCTCTCAACGTACAGTAGGAAGCACTTTCTTGCTGTGGGAAATTCCTTATCCGATGTTATTACTCGGCATTACTAGAACATCGAAGGGTGGTCTTCCCCTCCCCTACTCCAAGTTTTTCCCTTTGTGACAATACTGCCATCCGATCCCCCAGACCGTTCCATCCCATCTTGACCCCTATTCGACATGAAGTACCTCTACTTCGTACTGCC